AAAGAGATTCTACTCAATCCCCTCCTTATATCCAAGCAAGGCAATTGTTTTGATTGCTAAATCATTTCTTGCTTGAGTTTTTCCTCATTGCTTGAGTCTTTGAGAGATATTGCCATATTCTAAAGGACTTCATTGTATTTGCAACAATCTACTCCGTGTTGGGAGAATTACTCGGTTGCGGTTTGTTTTCTTACTTTATTGTAAGGGATTTGTATTCTTGGTGTTGGGATTACACCAAGTGGTAGAAATCCTAACGGTTTGTGAAATCAAACGTTAGGTGGAAGAAATCCTGAATTTTGTGAAATCAAAACTTCGGTGGTAAGATAAGAGGCTTGTGAAATCAAGTTCTCGAGTTGTATTCGGATTGTCAAACTCCGTTAAGTTTGACGGCTTAGTGAAGACCTGGGCACGATTGCTTCGGGGACTGGATGTAGGCATTTAGGTCGAACCAGTATATATCGTGGGTGCATTGCTCTTATCCTTCACTTTATTTTGTTTGTGGTGCATTGTTTTTATTGAATATTCGTGAAGAACATTTCCGCGCAAAAAACTGGTCTTTTGGGCAACACCTCTATTCACCCCCCCTCTAGAGGTGTGCGAGGTGTCTAACAAGATTATGCATAAAAGAGCTATTTTTATAAGAAATAACTCCAAATTGGAGTTGAACATTACATTTATCTTTAAAATAGGAGTTTATATTTTTAATCATCAAAATAGAAACTTCTATTTGGTTCTAACATTGGCATGTTATTTTTATTTTGAGATAAAAACATATATCTCTTATCCTATTAGTTTCTTCATGTTATACTCATAGTTTAATTTTTTATCATTTTTTATACTACTCCATTATGAAAAAATTACATAAAAACGTGTAAAAAATTGGATAACAATAATTAGAATTGCGTAAATAAATTGAGGTGTAACCACTAAATAAGTTTTTAATGTTTAACTTTTTAAATATTGTATGCTAACTTTATAATACGAACTAAAATTTATTTTGCAGAAGTAGGAAATGTTTTCTATATAAAATATAAATTATGACATTGCATTGTTGTTTTATTATTTTATATACAATGATTAGAAAAACGATGATTATGAAAAAAATACTCCGTAACAACAATAACAACAACAACAATAATAATATTAGTAAAAGTTGCAATTATAGTAACAATAACATAAAAGTACACCTAAATAATTTTTTAAAGTGATTTTTAGAAGAAAATGAAAGAATTTTGAAGAAAATGGAAGTTTAAAATGGCCCTTTCTAATTGGGTATTTTTTCAACTCAGCCCATTTACAAAAAAAAAACTCTAATTTTAAACTTTATAAGATGAGAATATATATTATAAATAAAACTATAAATAGAATTTAATAGATTTGAAAGAAAATGTTTCAGGCTGTTTAAAGCTATTTTGAAAAACATAATGTAAATAAAATATTTATAAACAGTTCCATCCGTCAAATTTGTGTGTTGCTTTACGATGTTTGATCAAAGTTTTTTTCCAAATAAATATGACTGATAATTGGTCTAGAACTTTCCATTAAAACGAGTCTAGTCTGGAATGAAAAAAGTATTATGAAATGAGATCTAATTTCAGAAATAATAATGTTCACAAAACAAAATATTAGATTTATATTTCCGTAATATTGAGTTCAATAATTATGAAATTAACGCGACAAGATAATACTTAACTTATCCTAAAATATGGCGCATGTTTAATACTCACAAGTTTAAATTAAATTTTATTTACTTAATCCATTTTTATCGATCATTTAAAGAAAAGTCATACAACCATTTGTTTCGTAAAACTTCTTGTGTACGTATTTTATATATACTGGATTAATTATTTAAAATTCTAAACCAATTTTTAGTTATAATTAAAAAAACCTTTAGTCATACATTGAAAACTAAATAGAAGTAAAATATAACTCTTATCTCCAAAATAAAATTAATTCTATGTTTTTATTTATGAAATAAGAGTTTGCATTGAGACATTCTCACATTGTATAGTGGCATTTCATAATATTTTTTAGTATCATATGTAGGGCCTTTAGAAAACTAGGATTAGAGTAGCTGGATAGGAGCTCGGTGTTGTAGAGGTTGTTTTGTAGTGTGCTGTATTTGTTTGGAATCTTCTGCTATTGTTTGTACTTATTACATGTACTTGTTGCTTGTACTTGGTGCTTTATCTGTGTTATACTGTGTTCCCTCCCATTTTTTGTGTGCAGGTGGAGCCGGGGGTCTCTTGGAAACCGCCTCCCTACTTCCGAGTAGGGGCAAGGTTTGCGTACACACCCCCCAGACTCTACTGTTGTGGGATTCAACTGGGTTGTTTGTTGTTGTTGTATATGTAGGGGCGTACCGGTTCAAAACTGGACTTGAACCTGAAAAACAGGAAACTTGAATCGCCGTAAGTCTAGGCCCGGAAACCAGACCTTAAGTTAATTTTTGACAATGCATTTTTAAAAATATATATTTAGTTATAATGTAATTTTAGTATCCATCTACCAAAACTTCAAAACCATTTCTAAATCCACAATCCAAAAGCACTTCGCAAAAGCATTGATGAACATAGAGTGTGTTTGGTTGGAAGGAAAATATTCTCCAGGAAAATTTTGATTTTATTTTCTGGTGTTTGGTAACATTGGTGGAAGGAAAATACTTTTCAGGAAAAATATTTTCCTTCAATGGGGGAAATTAATTTACTTTTGATTTTCAAAGGAGAATTTTCATTCTCTCTCCGTTCCGTCCACCACGCCCCCCTCCAATCCCTCACCCATGTCCACCCCATACCCCGTTCATAACAAATCTTGGAATGTTAGTCTAATAACTCAAATATGGATATTCATAACAAATACGGAATATAAATCTCAAATACGAAGTATTGTAAATTAGTAGGAACTAAAAACTTACTCAAATAATATTTAAATACTAAAACAATTTATAATTAAAAAAATCTTAAATTAATTATAAAATAATCTTAAAATAAATTGCTACTCAAATAAATCTAGCAAAAAGCCACTCAAAAAATCTATCCACATCCAGTGTTCGAGCCTCAAGCCTCACCCCTGCGCTAAAAAGGTTGAGATTTAAAAAAATGAACAGATACTATACTGATGGGTTTGGGAGCTACTCAAAAAAAAATCTAGCAAATTAAATTATACTCCCTCCGTCCAACATTTATTTTCCCGTTGCGCGTTACGATATTTGACTGAAGTTATTTTCCAATCATTTAATATAAAAAATGGTGTGTAAATAAAAAATAAAAATTACATATTTAAAAACTACATCAAAAGATCTACAAAACTAGAAGTGACATTACTATATTATTTTATAAAATGAACAACAAAAATATGCCAACAAAATGAATAAAGTTTGACCTTGTAAATAGTGAACGAGAAGATAAAAGTTGGACGGAGTCACTAGATTTACTAACCTTAACCAACGATTAATGAATATGGAAAATGACAATTTATTAGAGATGTTTTTGTGTGGTCTGTGTTGGGGAAAGAAGAATCAATGCGCCAATAAATGCTTCTTATTTTGTTACTTTTTCCATTCCTAAATATTTGTTCATTTTATTTTGTGTGTCAAACGTTTGACTAACTATATATATAAATATTTAATGAATTCAAATATAAAAATTATACCAAATTATTGGTATCAAAAAATACTTTAAATGTGTTATTTTTAAATTTTTTTTCCATAATGTATTTTAAAAGATAATGTTAGTCAAACTTTAAATTCGAATAGCGAATGGGACAGTTAAAAAGGAATGGAGAGAGTAATTATTAGAGCATCACTACTCATCCCCTTAGATTCTCTTCCATATCATCAATTTTTAAGCCACGTGATTTTCTCTTCTTATTTTCTTCACCTCACTCTAAATATCCCTCTCCTTTTTATCTTTATTTCAAATACTTACGGAGTAATTTACTTTCAACCAATCAAATTTAGTATTTAATTTTACACCAATCAAAATTTCTCTTTCTTTAGGAGCATTTAATTCTCCTCCCAACCATACTCCCTTTATTCCTCTACCCTCTCTAATCATGCTCATTTGCCGCTATTCCCCTCACTATTCTCCTCCATCATTAGTGTTGCTCTTACAATGAATAAGCCATGGAGCCAAATAGTTATTGTTACTACCTATTGTTCATAGAGAAGCTCATCAAAGGGTAGGATTGGTAGGAAGAAAAAAAATTAATTAAAACTATAATATGGCTCAGTTGCTCAAATACATCTTCAATATTGTGAAGGAAAGATGTTCATCATCGTTATTTATGACATATAGCACCACAATGAATAAATACGGAGTACGTATATACACCTTTTGAGTACGGGCATTCTTGAAGCAGAGCATATAAATTCAGTAATTTTTGACTAACCGTGGGACTCTTAAATAAGCAACAATCATATCACAACACCAAATTATATTTACACGGATTTACCATTGAGACAAATTGTTGAAGACTTCCAGAGATTTATTATTGAGACAAATTGTCGAACACTTTGAAATCAAAGCGAAAAAAAAATGCACCTCCTTGCCTCCCGCGCCTCGGTTAGAGCAGCCACTAGCGTTCCTCGCAAGCTTCCCTTTAGGTCGGTTATAGGTCGCAAAAGAGTTACCTGATACAGTTGGCTCCGACCAAACTCGAACTTGATCGGATCAACTCGCTAATGTAAGAGATTATCAAAATCATATATACTTTAAAGTAATTCTCTAAATGGTTCTCTATAATAAAACGTTTTTCCAAATTAGTCCTCAATAAGTTTTAATTACCTACGTGGTCTTTTATAATTGAGATGTGATTCCTAAGTAATCCTTCGTAAATAATATTACTTAAATGTTAAATGATGATTAATTAGATATATTTTAAAATTTTTTATCAGCTAAATATAGAATAAGTTCTTAAAATTATCATTTCTAATAAAGTGTTTTCCCAAAATTATTTTTTCTAATTAAAGATATGTATTTAATTCAAATTTTAATTTTTTTTTTTTTACAGTTTTTTAATAATTTATGGATTATGTATAATCAATGTATTGTTTTAATTTTACATTGAATTGTATTGAAATGACCACTCTAATTAAGTATATACTTTAAATTTAGAAGATAAAAAAACTAAAATAATTTTTAATTAATAATCATTTGAGTAACATTATTTACGAAAAACTATTTAGGAAATAAATCTTAATTATAAAGGACCACGTAGATAATTAGTAGTTATTGAGTACTGAATTGGGAAAATACCTTATTATACAGGACTATTTTGGGAATTTACTCTATACTTTATATTAATTAATATAAATATAATATTATAAAAGTAAGATTATAATTATATTTCTTTTAACACTACTCATTTTAATGCATTAATTCATATTTCCTGAAATTTTTTTAATGATATCGCATAATTATTTCTTTTAAAAATAGTTTTTTTTATTCGTAAAGAATTACTTAAAATTTAAAAAAACATACTCCCTCCATCCCAAAGAAAGACTCTTTATTTTCTTTTTGGGACGTCCCAAAAAAAGCTTCCTCTTTTCTTTTTTAGAAAAGTTTGAGTGACTCACAATTTTTTTCTCTCTTTTATATCACTTTCAACACACATTTTTACTTTCTTTAAACTTTGTGTCAAGTTAAACTAAGAATCTTATTTTGAGACGGAGAGTAGTTAAAAGCATAATTTATTGGGGCGTCCCAAAGTAACTGGATCATACTTACTCGAACCCGAATAACCTAAAGTCGAACCTAACCAGACCATATCTGATTTGCTCTAGTATATATCTTCTCTTATAGTCTTCTAGCCCTAATTTCCGCCATCAAAGGTCGTTCTCCACCTCCTGACGACGATCCGTCCATATCTGATCTGGTACGAATTGCTGTTCTCTGTTTATTTTTCTGAACTCTCTATTATTTTTTTGAGCATTTTTCTGCCTCAAATTTGATTTCCCATAGTTTTTGATTTATAATATTGATAGTTTTTTGTGCGAGATTCATACATTAGATTAGATTCTTGGACCTCGGATTTAGCAACATACTATAAACACATTTGTTTACAGAACAAAAGAAATTACACCTCAAACCTATTCAACACCTGATTGACCTTTGAAAAACTTGTTTTTCAAAATAAATAATTTCCCAAGTACTTAGAAGCCTCTCCCGGTGGTTGTTGTTGTTGTTGAATATCTATTATTCGAAAATAATACTCTTTTATGTTTCAATATGTACATCACCCTTCAATTTTTCATTAGTCTATTTCCCTGTTATTGCGCCTCTAAAATTTTGAGGATTGTTTGCCAACAAAGGATTCAATTTTTAAGGCCATCGTTCTATTTGAATTGATGAATATAGCACACTAGTATCACACCCTTGCGTTGCATGGCTTGTATTAATGTTATGAAAATATATTGGTGTCGTTATTGAAGAATATAAATAGATCATATAACATAATATAAAATTTTTCATTATTTTAAAGCATGAATATCAAATGAATTACAAATTTTGAAAATCTTATTTATAAACTGCATTATTGGTTCAATTTGTGAGAATATTCTCTACGTTGTATATCAGAATTTCAAGTTATTACGATTTGTTACTCTTACGATTTTTTATTATTTTTATTAATACCTCACCTTAGAGTTTCGTTAATAATATTATTTTTATTTTTATTAATACCCCATATTAAAATAATAGTGCTGGTTTTTTATATCAAGAAAGAGCATTCATATTTCCATATATAACAATGCTAATAATATTAATAATATTTATTAATATCTCACCTTATATTTTTGTCAATAATATTTTCTTATTAATACTCAACCTTATATTTTTCGTCCCATGAATTATTTTTTGAAATATTTATATAAATTCTAAATTGAAATTTATATTTATTTTAAACTCTTATGAATAATATTAATCGTGTTTCCATATATTATACGCACATAAAATTTCTACATGTTATATACATCATATATAATGAACACTAATTTTGGAAAGTTTAACAATACCATTAGGTAGATGAAGTAGAATCCTTTAATATAATATTTCAGATCACCAGAGCTTGACATAAAAGAAATATAATTTTTAATAAGAAATATTTTCACCATCTTTTGATATTAAGATATTTATATTTTAAAATGTTGAATGACAAAACAAAATTTTGAATATATTATTTTAAAATAGAATAAAATTTTTTAAAATATTGTAAAATAGAATAAAATATATTATATTTTAATTAATACAAGGAGTTTTTTTTTATTCTGGACATTGTTTTTAAATAAAAAATTTATCAATCTTTTACATGATTAACCAGATTAGTGTTTATAAATATATTTTAATAATATTTTTTATATAAGATAGAGAAGTAAAGATAAATAATATACTAGAATATAAAGTTTAGGGTCATTTAACATAGATTATAATGAATAATATTTATTTAACAATTTTCATAGAATTTCATTCTTTATATATATATATATATATATATATATCTCTATTACAAGGTAGTATCTGTTCATACTATTCTCAACCTAATGACGCATAAAGAGTCAACACCTTGACTCCGCTGGGGCTTGAACCCGTGTGAACTATTATAGATAAGTAAAGATAAATATTATATTAAAATAGATATTGCAAAATATTTTTCCAAGATATTTTTTTTTATATTTTTCATCTTTGTGTGTATTTGAGAAGTCTTATATTATGAATTTAGATAAAAAATGTTACAGGAATTGTATATTCATTTTTTAGTGGACTCGATTAGAATGTGGTATCTGTTCTTACTTTTTCAATCTACTTTTCTCAATCTAATGACGGAAAAAAAAGAATGTCTTCATCTCCGCTAGGACGTGTGGGTGAGTGTACCCATAAATTTTGGATAGTGAGTTTCCTACCACTCAATCTTAAGTGCTATTCTTTATTCGTTATATATGCATTTACAAGTTAAATGATGTTCATATTGGACATTTATAATAATAATAATAATAATAATAATAATAATAATAATAATAATAGTAATGGTATAAGTAATAATAATTGAAATAAGAATATTATAAAAATTCACGTATATAATTATAAAATCACTATTTAAAGAAATCTGACGTAGTTAAAAAAATTTGAAGAAGTTTGAAGTAATTAAAAGAAATTAGAAGAATTTGGAAAGAAATGTAAGAAGTTGGAAAATAGTGGAGTTTAATGAAAATAGTGGGCTGGGGGATGAAACCAGATGACTCGAGGGTGAGTAAGAAAATAAATTTTCTTACCAAAGCAAAAGCCTCTATTTTTTATTTTTTAGCCCTTTCTCCCTTCATTTTTTCCCTCATTTCTTCTACTTTTTTTCCCTCTTCTTTTTTCTTATTCGGTATTTTTTTTACTCCCTCTTTTCTTTTGCTTTTAGTTTTTTAGCTCCTTTTTCAACTTTTTATTTATTTTTTGTTTTTTTATTTCTTAACTTCTTTTCTCTTTATTTTCTTATTCGTTGTTTTTGTTTTCTTTCTTTCCGTTTGTTATCTTTCTTTTAATTATTTTTCAAATCTTTTTATTTTTTGATATCTTTTCCGATCTATATGTTTTTTATTTCAATTTTCTTAAACATAATTATTTATTATTCTATTGATTGCACGTTTTTATTTTTTACTTTCCTCATTTTTTGTTGTTTTAAATTGTTTTTCTTCCGTTTTTCTCACCCACTAAATAATACAATGAAGAAATATTTCTTTCTTTTCCGTTGGTTTCTCTCTCTGTCTTTCTTTCTTCTTTTGCTAACTTTTTTCTTTTGTTTTTATATAAAATTCTTTAATGTTCACAAAGGAATAAAAAATAATTAAATTGATTTCATATCCATAAACTTTTTTATTTCAAATTTTCTCACCATTTTTATTTTCTTTCGTTGTCATTTTTAGTTTTCGTACGTTTTGAATACTTGCATTCAGCGCAGCGAGATATGAATTAGTCGCCAATCGATCCCCAAATTAACAGGATTTGACCGTTTCGCGGAACGTACATGGGGATTATCCAGCCCGTTACACAATCCTCTCAGCCCAATCCATTCTGACAGAGCCCACGATCCCTTGGGCCTATCTCTGTATTTGATGTGGGCCGGGTATCCATGAACTACCATTTACCAAACGAAACTGTGTAATGGGCGGGCAAAGGTAAAAAAAAAAAAATAATAATAATAATAATAATAATAATAATAATAATAATAATAATAATAATAATAATAATAGAAAAGCATGCAAGAAATAGAAAAAATGAAAAGATACAAGAAGAAATAATTCTACACCATATTATGTAGTGCACGAGCAAAATAGAAAAAAAGAATAAAATTTAGAAAATGAAATAAAAAAGCATACAAAAAAGTAGAAAAAATTAAAAGAAAAAAATATTTAAGTTCAAGCTACTCAAAATTGATAAAATTTCTTCTCAAAAGAATGAGAAAATTGAAATAAATGATCTATAGGTTGTAAAAGGTATCAAAAAATAAAAAGATCTCAAAACGAACAAAAGAAAAAGTATCAAACATAAAGAAAGAGAGAGAAAACAAAAATAATGAAAAAGATAAATAATGGAAAAAAGAAAGAAAAACAAAAAGAAAACAAAATGAAAAAAAATAAGAAATGAGAAAACGGAAAATGAATAAAAAATAAAGAAAGAGTTGAAAAAAGTAGAAAAAAATTGCAAACAGAAACAAAGAGAGAAAATTAAAATGACAAAAAAACATTAAAAGGAGAAAAGAAAAAAAAGAAAAGGAAATTAAGAAAATTAAAAAGTATAAGAGAGTGAGAAAGTAAAAAATACTGAATATGAGAAATGAAAAGAAGGGAAAGAAGTAGGGGAAGAGGGCTCAAAAAGAAAAGAATAGAGTGGGAGGGAGTGTAAGAAGAGAATATAGGGGTCAATATGAATAAATAAAAAATTAAAATTTGCAATTTGGCCCAAAGTGACGTGCTGGTAATGGGCAAATAGATTATTAGGGAAAGAATCGTACAAGTTTAGATTTTTTTTTGAAAGGTTTTGAAGTTCAGGTACTGAATCGAAAGTTTCGTAAAAGTTCAGGTACCATTCTTGAAATTTACCCTTCTTTTTTATTTTATTTTTTATTTTGTAAGGTACACCAAGTTTAGTGAAGAAAGGAAAATAACAACAAATTAGAAAAAGAGTCTGTCCCAAAAAGACTTCATATTTTTCTTATTGGGTTTTTCCCTAAAATTTTTATATTTTATCCTTAAAAGGCAAGGAACATGTGCCTAACACACATAGTTTTAAAAACCGAACCAGTGTCTGAACCGGCCGAGACACTGTTTTATTAATCGAACTAGTGGTTCAAACATATTTGAATATTTTATATATATATATATATATATATATATATATATATATATAACTAAAAATATTATTGATAGAGAGAATTAGCATTCAAATGACATTAAGGCCCAAAGCCATAGAACTACACTCCGTATAAACCCACATACTCCATAAAAAATACGTAGTAAGAGGAGAAACCCAATTCAAAAATATAAAAAACCCTAATGCTCCGTGGCTTTTCTCGAAAGGCAAAGGGTCAAAGTATAAAGCATCGGGAAACTTCAAAACCGGCCACCATCGTCGTCGCTGTACTTGGATAATTGGATCCAACCGGTCGTTCATCGCTGAATAATTCAGGTTTGAATGTCCCTTGCGAGAGCTGATTCACGGTCACGTTCATCAACTTTGAACTTTAATTGAACAAACATTGTAATGTATATTAGTATAAAGTGATTTCACTAGATTCATCTTGTTGAGAATATCAAAAATTAAATTTCATTGTACTAATATGCAATACATATTAAGAGTACTTAAAGTTTAATGTTCGTTGTGTTTGACAAAAAAAATCAAACTACACACACGGTTTTTTGGACGGAGTTGGTGCATATAATGAAATCCAGTCATGTGAATTTATTCGGTAATGTAGATTTTAGATTATTTGTATCAACTGATTTCAAATTGTGGCATAAATTAAAAATGTTTGCATATTAATTTTTTCAGATTATTACTTCCTACGGAGACATCAAAGGTAAATGATGCACTTCAGAGTCTTGTCTAATTGATAATCTGTATAAAATTGTTCATGTATGGTATTCGAATTGTTCAAGTTTTAAATATATAGCACCTTTTTCTTTGTTATAACACAGAGAGAATTTGCGTGATTTGAGTTTGATCCGTAGAATTCAAATTGTGGATTTGTAAATCTTTTGTTGTGATATAGAATTTAAAATGTGGAATTAAAAAATTTGGAATTAGAATTCAATTCCAATTCCACATACATTTGTGCTACCAAACAACATAATTGGAATAGAAGTTTACAATTCCAATTTCATGGTCTGAATTTTGTGTACCAAACAAAGCATTACACTATTTCTCTTACGGTTTCAATCACTTTATACTCTCTCCATATCTTGCCAATCACTACTAAAATACTCCCTCCGTCCTAGAGTATTCGTCTAGTTTGACTTTTTCGAGTCAAACTGGATAAACTTTAATCATCAATTACTCTCAATTTGTATTGCATATTAATATAATGAAATAAAATTTTGAAAGTTCTAAACAAGTTAAATTTAGCAAAATCATTTTTATATTCATATACATTATAGTTATTACATAATTGAGGCTCAAAGTTTGTCTAGCTTGACTCGAAAAAGTCAAACTGGACGAATACTCTGGGATGGAGGTAATACTTTGTAATCTTTGTTCATCAACAAACTGTTTTATATCCTATGTTTAAATTTCAGATAAAGTTGAATTACGCCGACATTGCGAATGGGAAATGTTGATGACATCATTAGGGTGTTGAAATGGTTCGAGAAGAAGAAGAATGAGAAGAAGAAGAAGAAAATTTTGACCTCTGATAATAAGAAGAACAAGTTGAAGAAGAAGAAGTCCATTGAAATTAATGATGAGAAGAGGAAGAACATGAAGAAAAGAAAGCAATGTTGGGATCTGAGACACTATAGATGGTTGGCAGTATCAAATGGAAAAGAGAATGATTGGTGGAGCGATATTTGTCGTGCTGCTAGTGGTGGTGATGGTGATGGTGGTTACGAATTGGATCCTGACCACCTTGAACAATTTAAACGAGTTAATAACAAAGTTGGTTTGTGCTACTTCCCGGTGTTGGACGATGAATACCACAAGTACATTGTTGAAAGCACTAACTTCAAGCGATATGCAAGATCATGGGTCGAAAGTGATGGGTTTGACATTGACTGGGCGGTTGGAGTTGCACCTTGTTTGTCCATCACGCACGAACCCCTTTGCATCCACGACAAGGGCCAACCTCAACTCAATCCACACCTTTCCAAACTCGCTGAACGCGCACTTCAAAAATATAATTCCACCCATGAAACGGCTAATTATGAGTTGGTGCGTCTTGTCAAAGCCAATCGCAGGTTAGATTGGGCTGCCTATGCATATTACATTACTTTCCTTGCCATTAAGAAGACTACGGTGGAAGAGGAGGAAGATGAGAAGAACGAAGCAGCAGCCGACACCTTTCGAGCTAGAGTTTACGATTTTTCTATCGGTGATCGCTTTTTTAGAGCTTCTGTCTATTCTGTTTATATATCACCACCACCTCCACCACCATCGTCATCATTTAGGCGATCAAGCTTAGATTGAATCCTTTTCACGCCATATAATTAGTTTTCTTGTGAGGATGTAATGAAACATGTTACATTACAGTGTCTCCTTCAGTGCTTATCATCATCAAGTCTTTCTCTGTTTTAATTTTAGTGGTTTGTTCAGTATTTATCACCTTTTTTAAATCCATTTTCGTTAAAGTAATGCATTCACAACCCTTGTTTTATGTTTATACGAAATTTGATCATAATTTCTTCGGTATACGAACTTTAAATTCTATCAAAAAAAAGTACACGAACTTGCAACTTTCTCTTACCAAAAGAAAATAGGAACTTTTTAGGTGACCAAATAAAATCATGATCATTCCACAACAGTACCAAAACTTTCACTAATCACCAAGAATCAAGCGAGTACAACAAGTTTTCCTTTAATACAATCAAGGAACATCCTTGGTACAACAACAATCTCAACGAAAATAGAGTAAGAACCTCAAAAAAAACAGGTACAATAGCTGCCAGAAAACTACCTTCCGAGCATCAAAACAGAAATTTGACCGTTGGATATGGAAAAGAGTATGTGAGAAAAAACATACTAAAATTTGAGCACAATAGGGTTTCGTTTGGTCTTCGATCCGAATGGGAAAAGGTGCTGCTGAACACAATGGAGAAAAACTCTTTCTTCTTCTCTGTGTCGTAGCTACTGCCATTTTCTCAAAATTGATATACTTTTTTTTTATATGGTGTCGTAGCCACACAAAAAGAAACTCAAATGGGCCAACTCCAAAACAAAATATTTCAATTAAAAGTATGAATATAAACAATACAATTAAAATGGGAGATAATAAAATATTATCCAATTAAATTGACACTTGTTCAATGTAGGAGGGATATTTTCAAACAGGAGTATCCCTCCTCTCTCCCCGCCACCACCCGTCTTCGTCTCTTCTTATTCGGCAAACTATCTCCAAACAGTTTTATCATTTCTTCTTTTATGGTTTGTGAGATATTTGGTGTGTTGCGAGCATACCTAGATAAAATAATAAAAGCACACAGATTGAATCAAGCAAACACAAATATATGATGTTGTAGAACAAAAGAGGATGATACACAGAGTGCTACAGCATTCTCGCAATCCTGCACAATCACGCGGTTAAGTAAATTAAAGCAGTAAACTAAGTGCCCGGTACATGTTTATGCATTTCGGAGAAATCCTTCTAATCCGTTGGACATTCGTTCGTGTAATAGCTTCCCACTAAATCCGCATAATAGATTACATTGATTACAAATAATAGAACTCGTTTTGCAAGAAGATCAATGACCTCGTCTGGGGAGAGACAAGAATTGTCAGTATATTCTAACCAAGGGCTATACTATCAAAGATATCAACTCCTCTTTGGCTTAGTTGGTTTGACAGATAATTCTGAAACCACTATGTCAAGAGTTCAAAGCTTGGTATGGAAGGAGGTGAAGATAGATTGTTTACGAAGATATATCATGACTTGAAGAAATAAAGTACAGCTCGGGCAGTCTGAGATACGATGTGATAGATTCACCGCCAAGTGTATGACGTGTTAAAAAGTTATGACTGAACACCAAGATAATAGTGTAATTTGAACAATCTTGTTGGCCAAGTCAAACAAGAGTATTTTTGAAGGGTAAAAAAGTACTCTCTACGTCCCAAATTGTTTGTCACATTGCACACAAAACGAAGCAAAAAAGTCAAGCTTTTTCAATTCATTTTATTTAAATATTGGTTAAGATATAAAAATTATAATTTAAATATTTAAAAATTTAATGAAAAATTCTTCAAAATAAGAAGTGACAAGAATAATTTATTTTACGGAGTAACAAATAATCAATGAAAACAAACAAATAAACAAAAATCTCCGTGATTGTTGAAAAAAAAAGTGACATTTTTTTGGGACGGAGAGAGTAATATTTATTAAAACAGCAAAATTCAATCTTTATCTATAAGTAGCAGAAACGATTTAGAGCACATTGTTGAAATAAGATGACATAAAACAATAATCACACTTAAAACGTAAAACGCTTAACACGAGTAAAATACAACTTTATTAGCACCTGTCTCGCACCTCCACTCGATCCAACTTCCTGGTAAAATCAATAATATTGTACACTCAGCAAATTTGTTGCCGAGGGATAAAAAACAATATAACACGAAGTTCTTGTAAGAATACATACTAATCAGTTTACCAAATATGTATAGATGTAGATGTCATTAACATATCCTTCAGAGTATTATTTCAAATTCAAGATAATTTTTTCACATACGAGTATAAGGTTTTAGTAAACACTCAAATAAAAGAAATCTGTCAAGTTTCTACTTTATACTCCTGCGACCCGACCCGATGAAGTTCTCCATTTACAAATCAATCGATCAGCGAGGAAGACACGCACGAAGCAGCCCCGTCGGATATAGTATCATCGTCTGCTGAACTTTCCTCATCAGCAGCGCTATTTGGGACAACCACTTTCTCATCATCAATCATCAATCTGCCCACAGAGTAGGACATATTTTTCTCTGAGGGGTGTTAAATAAACATGGTTAGTTATCCCAAAGAAACAACAGGGGAAATGGAAAAAAAAAATTACAAGATGAAATGAACTCACTGCAATAGTTTTTCTATACGTCTCCCAAATGTCTCAACGACAAGAGCATCAACCTTCCTGTCTTGAATGGCATACTTGAGGTCTTCTAGACGGTCAAGCAAATATTCTAATGTACTATAATCATTGTTGTTCACATTTGCAACTGATCGAGAAATATCCAGTAGCTTACTTATCTGTCACAATACGGGGTTAACACATCTAAGAAAAGCAGATATAGGAGAAGTAGATATTGTAAAAAGTTGCAAGTATTAATTATACCCCAGCACTTCATAATACAAACATACGAGCATTGGTTAACAGTGGTTCAGGAGACCATCAAAGTAGAACCGTAATTTCCAGCAAACAATCTTCCTCCCTCATACAGAAAACATTTTGATATGTAGCTAAGCTAAATAGGAAAGAACACAAAGTCGCCAAAGAAACAAACATAATTACATAAAGAATGAGAAAGAGCTAACAATTCAAAAATATGTTTTCTTTCGATCAGCCCAAAAGATTAAAGACATTTTGAGAAAATGATAGTGTGACATGATGAAGGAAAGCCCAAGAGTTGCTTGTGTTTTTTGAAAGCCTAAAACGGAAAGGTAAGTGTCATAGAGCAAAATCAAAATGAGTAACATGAAATAGTAATTCCACTGGGGGGCAAAGTATAGAACAATGCCTGCTGCAAAACATTTAAACAAATGGGGGGAAAACAGATCTTTTAAAAAAAAAAGAAGGATCCCAGACAATTAAGGACATCAAAACTGGCACATGAAAATTATCCGTCAACTTCCAGAAGTATCCACTGAATGTAACGAAAAAAATCAGCACAGTATGATTGATTTCATCAACAATTAACAGATTTATCATTGTGAATACATTAATGAGATACCTAGAGTCAAGATCTTTAATAATCTAAAAAGTTCTGTAAAATACCTGCTGATAACTTTCATGTTCAGATATGGTTCTGCGCCCACTCAACAGCAGATCAATCTGGCTTCTCGGAGGAGTCATCAATGGTGACCTTGGTGTCATACTCCTAGCTGATGAGGCCTTCTTTGACATGTCAGAAAAATTGGTAAGACTATCCAACTCAGAAGCCGTATCGGACTCAAGAGCACAATCTAGTATGTCTTGAGAGAATTGACAAGGTAACCCATTCTGTTTTTTAGAAAAGATGCCTAACTCTTCAGCAACGCTTAAAGAAGAGACTCTTGCTACCTCAGGATTCACCATCCCATTGTCAATGCTTTTTGGTGACCATGATTCAAGAGCCTTTTCAAGAATTTCTGAAACTCTTTCAAGTCGTTCATTCACAGTTGAACCTTTTAAGTCGCACGTGTCAGCTAGAGTACAAATTCTTGAATGTTGTTTTACATAAAGGAATCCTCGTATTTCAACTTCGCATATGAGACAGATAAATGAATTCTCGTAAGATATATAATGTAGCAGAGAGTCAGATTTATCCATGTGTGGGACATCATCAGAGTTTTTGACTTTCTGATTTCTTTCAGCTGCAGAAGGAAGCGTCTTCCAAGAAGACATCCTGACGCTTCCTGTAGATGAAGTGGTACTCTTAGCACTTAGCAGTGCTAACCTCTGTTGTCTCTCCACAAAAGTTCTCGTCCGTCTGATCTTCCCTGGCAGTTAGACTGCTATGGTCCATTCCTTGTGATTTTTTGTGTCTTCTCCCATTAAACTCCTTAGAAGGCCCAAGCATTTGTTCTGGATACACTCCGACATCGCTAAGTTTGTGGAAAGATAAAATGTGTTCTTCAAAACCACTCTCTTTCTGAAACTGTACAAGCCGAGTACAACGAGCGAGTATGAATAAGAGGCGGGTGTGATCTTGCTTTATAGTACCCATTGGAAGCTCTTGCCTTCGGTCATCTAGATTCTGAACAATGCCTTCACAACTCAACCAGAAGTCACTAGGTGACATCTCTGCACATTGTCTAGCTAATACCAACAAATCTTCCAGACTCTCCCTCCAATGAGCATTGGGTTCTGATGCCTTTTCAAGCATTCCAACCAGATCGCCAGCAAAGACACCCAAATCAGAGTTAACCTCTTCCTTTAATTTATCAAATTTTGACCGAATCATCACCATAATCTCCTAGAGAATTGCAGGTAAGAAAACACTTGCATGAGAAACCATAGCATTAATTTCTGGGCAGCAAATTCATTTCCATCATATAGCATATATAAGGATCAGAAAGAAAAGTAGATATACCTCCATTCGGCCAAAAGCACGGGATTTCCAAAATGGGAGAGGTCGGACTCCTTTGGAATCAAGTTCATGAGAGAAGCTCTTGATATCTGGCACCCTCTTTCTGCGACCACTTGTGACACGTAGTATCGCTTGAAACCGAGGAGATTGCATTTCCTTGTAAAAAGCAGAATGGTGACCCTATAATAAGAGTATCCTCATTTTATATTTATGATATGTAACCAAGAATGACAACGCATGACATTAAGCTGAGTTACCTAACCCTTTCAACTAACTTGAGTGTATACAGCATAATAGAAGAGACATGTAAACCAAGTTGGGTAAATCAGGAATTACCTCTAAATTTGAGTGCCGAGGTGACCGTACTTTCAAAGATTTAGTCTGAGTCCAGTGGACCTTTTTGCCTAAGATTTAAAAAAAGAAGACATTTAGAATAAACCTTCCTTTAGATTCAGAATACCATATTTCCCTTATAGTAGTTCCTAAACAACTTGTGGGGGTGATTAGCTAGCAAATTAATACTTTCAGTTGCATACACCTGTTTTCAAAATCACACCAGAAAGATAATCCAATTCACTCTATCGATCAGATTTACTAAGAAGACACAACTACATCAAAGTGAGATACTAAATTTGTGTCCTAAATTCATCAACTCTCTGAGAAACTACAAGTCTGTAATGTGGAAACCAATTTACTTTAGAAAAAGGAGAGAAAACAGTCCATATAATATATGACCTCCTTCCCGGAAATGTTCAGCAGGTTGATCAGCATTGGTCGAAAACCTAGAAAGCGAATTAGCTACCCGTCTTCCCCCATTTCCATCCCCATGATCAAAAGGCGTGCGAATTGATTTAGAAATGGTGAGCGGCGACGGAGCTGAGCGAGTCCCTAATGCGATTGAGGCCGAGATTGGATACCTCAGTCATCAACGAATAGTTAAAAAACTAAAAGGAATAATGTATCAATATAACTTACTTGTAGAAACTTGTTGGGATTTACTATCAATTACAATTGATCTACTGCTCAAAAAAGTGTCCCACATCATATCAACATAAATGGGAGCACAGCTGGCACCATCCGTGGAGAAAACCTGAAAAATATATAGCTTGAAATATTTTTATAAAAATAACTCCAAATATGAACATCAAGCTTCAAATATGCATCACTCACTTGTTTGTCGACTTCCTGGCAAGATGGGAGAGTAAGTTTGGTATAATATGTCCCAACACTATCAGGCGTATCAGCACAATCATGACGCCGCTCTTCTCGGACAATATTAGATATTCCAAGCTTTTTAAGCTTGGAAACCAATTCTCCATCGCAATCCGGCATGCAGAAATAGAAGAAATATTTTTTCGGGATCCATGCACGACCATTTATACCCCAATCAAAACCGTAACTGTTGTAACATTCAAGAAAAGGGGTACCCCAACACACTGCACACCCAACAATGGCTACGAGATGTGTCTCATATGGGTACTCACTTTGCCCTGTGATATAACTACTAGCGCACTCCGCATCTTCAAACTCTTCGGGAGCGTAAAAACACCTGCCCTTATAGACTAGTTTATTTTCAGGATTATAAAGCTTATGGAAGGAAGGATAAATGACTGTTCCAGCCGACATTGCTCCAACACTCAAAATCCTGTGTATCTTCCTCACTGTCAGTTTATGTTCATCGAAATTGACATACCCTTTAATCGTGAACTTAGTGTATGCATCAGTAGAAATGGGAGTCATATTACGAGGCCCTTTATACTCGTACGAACTATCAAAAACCATCCCTACCTCTTTAGCAAATATATAGTGCGGATTTTGGCCACGGATAACAGAATTATCGTCTCCATCCGTCTCTACCGTGTCGACTCTATCTTGTAAGCGAAAAATTGTTGGGAGAAAATCAATCATAAACTGGGCACTAAAGCCACCCAAATGATGATGACGATGTTTAAGCCACTTCTTAAACTTCCTTCTTCTCCTAACGTAAAATAAGACTAAAGAACATTTTCTCAACCATATCCGAAACTGCTTTTTTGAAGATTTTTTTCTCCTCAATCTCCAAAACTGCTTTTTTAGAAAGTCATGAGTTGACATCATATAACTAATACTGATTACCCTACTTATGGCGCATGGTGCACAATTACTATAAGGGCCTTGATCCAGTACCGGTGGTACACAACACGGCCGTTCTTCCGGTATTGAATAAAAAAAATCACCGTCAGCATCATAATCATCGTCGTCGTCATCATCATCATCATCATAATCATCGTCGTCGTCATGATGATGATGATGACGACGATGATTATGATGCTGACGGTGATTTTTTTTATGATGTTTATTTAAATTAACATAAATAAACATCCAATGACAAGAGAACAACTAGCAGTCTGCATATAAACACTCAAGCCACTCGGACGAATTTGCCCATTTTTTGTTGGGGAATGCTAGGGATACCCATTTGTACACTCTATTAGTCTATTGTGACCATAAATTATTATTTATTACTCCGTAATTAATTTTTTTATTCATCAATATAATTGAGTGATTTAAATAAACCTATAAATCAGACCAGAACCTAATAGATCAAAAATTAACAGTTTTGCTTTCGCGCTGTTTTGAATTGACTCCAATAAACACTTAAATCGTTGAATTGTTTTGAAACGTTTGAATGATTTTGAAATGTTTGAGCTTTGAATTGTATGTTTTTTATTTCCCCCGTTAATAGTGTGTTTAAATACCAAATTAGTAGCAACCTGGTTCGCCGACCCACGTATTTGGGCCGCGCGAGTCGGGGTGTTACACATTTGCTTCGACTTGGCTAGGGTAACCTGATTCTTTCCTCCTAGCCTCTTCATTAAGGAGACTAGCCTTGACCATCTCCATTGTCATCTTGCCATCCGGAGCTGAGTTGCTAAGTAAAACCACCAAGGTATCCCAACTATCGGGCAATGAGGAAAGTAACAACAAAGCTTGAAGTTCATCCTCCAATTTCATCTTCATTCTGACAAGTTGGTTTACCACACCTTGAAACTCATTCATGTGAACTATAATGCTATCACCATCTTTATATTGTAATTTAACAAGCTTCCTAATCAAATAAGCTTTACCTGTAGCATTGTTTCTCTCATACATGGATTCAAGTTTCTTCCACATCTCAAAAACATTAGTTTCATTAGCAACATGTTGCAACACACTTAAAAAAACATACTGTTTGATTGATGCAACGGCTTTTCGGTTCAAGCTAGCCCAAGCTTTCTCATCAACACTTGTTGGACGTTCTTTATACGAAATGGGGTCAAGCAAATCTTTAGAGCATAAATAATCCTCAATACGAATTTTCCAAATGGAATAATTCGTGGAGTCCAAACTAACCATTCCTTGAACAATCACTTTGTCATCCATCATTAACACAACAAGAAGCCAATCAAAATAACCAAGCTCTCATACCACTTTGTTGGGGAAGCAGCGTTTAAACACAACATAAGCGTAATAAATCTTTTCCCCAAATTAACAAGATGAATGATAAGCACAATAGACTCCAAAAAATCAGCAACACACACACACGAATAAATGACAGCGGTAATAAAGTAGAAGACACAAGATTTATGTGGAAATCCCAAATCGGGGAGAAAACTACAAACGTTCAACAACGTTACCAAAACTTCCACTAATCACCAAGAACCAAGTGGGTACAACAAGTTCTCCTCTCTACTAAACACTAGAGGCAAATACAATCATCAAGGAACATCTTTGGCACAACAACAATCAACAATTTCACCAAAAATGGAGTAAAAACTTCAAAAACGCAGGTTTACAAACGCTGCCATAAAACTACCTTCCGGGCTTCAAAATGGAAATCTGACCGTTGGATTTGAAGAGGAGTATGTAAGGAACAACATACTAAAATTTAAGCCCACTTCGTTTGGTCTTTGATCCGGAAGGAAAACGGGGCTGCTGTAAAAAGTGACGAAAATGATTTTTCTTCCTTCTTTCTCCTCTCCGTTCTGCTGCTACGTAAACTGCCTCTCTATCACCTTTTTTTTCTTTACTTTATCTTCTTTCCTAGCCACACAGGAGTGAAATGGGCTAACACCATTTGGGTCAAAAGTTTTATTTAAAGAGCCCAAATTTTAAAATAGAGAGAAAAAATATTGTTCAATTAAAATTAGACACTTCTTCCATGTAGGAGATATTTCCCAACACATTTCGAGCTAGAGTTTACGATTTTTGTATCTGTGTTTGCTTTTTTAGAGCTTCTGTCTACTCTGTTTATATATCACCAGGATTCACCACCACCTCCATCACCTCGTCATCGTTTAGGCGATCAAGCTTAGATTGAATCCTTTTCACGCCATATCATTAGTTTTCTTGTGAGGATAGTAATGAAACATGTTACTCCATCCGTTTCTTTTTAAATTGCCCATTTTGATTTTGGCTTATAAATAAGGAAGCAAAAAAATGATATTGACTTTTTTCAAAAATATCCTTCCTCTCTACTAAATGAAACATAAGGAATTTGTTTCTTACACGCGATTTGTACGTTATCAGATCTTTTTTCATCTATATATCATTTGTTTTGTTGAAACGTTGCTACCATACGAAGTGTTCTTTTTTCTCCCAAATTCCTACAATGTTTAAAAAGCTAGTTTTCCTATAGTGATAAAGTGAGAAACTAAAAATTAGTTTAGATAGACCAAAAGATTGAGGACATGACAAATTACCAAAATTTTAAGAATTAGGCTACTTGTACCTCAAAATTTGTACCCCAGAGATATGCACATTCATTTTGTGCCAGTGTGATGTTATTGTGATAGTTCAAAGTGACACATAATTATTTTTTTGATATCTTTTCCGATCTAAATGTTTTTTATTTCAATGTTCTTAAACATAATTATTCATTTTTCTATCGATTGCACGTTTTTATTTTTTACTTTCCTCATTTTTTGTTGTTTTAAATTGTTTTTCTTCCGTTTTTCTCACCCACTAAATAATACAATGAAGAAATATTTCTTTCTTTTCCATTGGTTTCTCTCCCTCTCTCTCTGTCTTTCTTTCTTCTTTTGCTAACTATTTTCTTTTGTTTTTATATAAAATTCTTTAATGTTCGCAAAGGAATAAAAAATAATTAAATTGATTTCATATCCATAAACTTTTTTATTTCAAATTTTCTCACCTTTTTTATTTTCTTTCGTTGTCATTTTTAGTTTTTCGTACGTTTTGAATAAGTGCATTTAGCGCAGCGAGATATGAATTAGTTGTCAATCGATCCCCAAATTAACAGGATTTGACCCTTTCGCGGATCGTACATGGGGATTATCCAGCCCGATACACAATCCTCTCAGCCCAATCCATTCTGACAGAGCCCACGATCCTTCTTGAAATGTTGGGCCTATCTCTGTATTTGATGTGGGCCGGGTATCCATGAACTACCATTTACCAAACGAAACTGTGTAATGGGCGGGGCAAAGGTAGATGATGGTGGTGGTGGTGGTGGCGGTGGTGGTGGAGGAGGAGGAGGAGGAGGAGGAGGAAAAGCATGCAAGAAATAGAAAAAATGAAAAGATACAAGAAGAAATAATTCTTCTTGTATATAAGGAGAGAGTAGTAACATCCCAAGCAACAATTAATTGAGTGTTGCTAGGAGGTAGACTCGATCACAGGTCTGAGTATCCGACCCGCCCGTAAAATAGCAGGTTTGGGTTTGATATTTTTTGGTATGGTGTGGGCTTTAGCCTTATAAATGACGGCCCGAGTATTTTAGGGCTGACTTAGGTTTTATGCTCAACTCGACAGGCTGGCCCGGCCCAAATGAATTGAAATACTTAATGTTAGTATAATTATAATAAAATAATAATAACAACATTAATAATAATAACAATAATAATAATAATAAAAGTGCAATATTAGTTTACATTATTATAAACATACAAACATACTTCTATGGAGGAAAAAGTGAATTAAAAGTATGCTTACTAAATTGAATACATTATTATTACTCTATATAGTTTACTACGTATCACACATTAATAATGATATTATAATATTTGCAATATCAAACAAAACATGCACATTTTATATATCAGTTGTCTTTCATTTACTCATTTAGTTATTATATCAAATATCTAATAAATTGACACATTACTTTATTTTTTTAAAGAATTATTATTTTTAGTTATTTAGAAATTTTTGTCTTGCAGACCGGGTCAGTCCAAAGCCTGCGGCTTGGCCCGGCCCGCACTTTGATCAGGTCTACTAGGAGGACATCAATCATTCGACAATATATATATATATATATGAAACTATTCTGCATTTTAATCAATACTAAAATGGGAACAAAGAACAGAACAGATGGAGACGAGTAAGAAAATGGAATCTTTTGGGGTGATACCCATAGTAGCTCCGGCTTGGGTACCCGAACTACCGATTCTAGTTTTGAATCGGTTTTAATAACTTTTTCAAATTTGATAAGCATTACTATATTTAGGAAAGCTATTTTAGATAAGCTATTTTACAAGTGAAAATTATACTTATATGTATATAAGTATATTTACACCAAAAGTTCAATTTATCAAAAACAAAAAACAAATACTCCTTCCGTCCACCTAAGATCTTCCCATTACACGTTACGAGGCTTGACCGACTTTATTTTCAATTTAATTTAATTGATTATAGTAGTAAAATTTTAAAATAAAATTTACTACGTATATAGTAATAAAGTACATGAAAAGTGTTGAAACACGGGTTTATCGTGTTTTCGTACTAAAGCCGTGTTCGTTTTTATGACAGGTTTTGATAATGCCAAACCGCCGTGAACGAGACAAGTTATTGAATATACAAGGTGAGAAATAAATATAAGAAGAAAGCAAGAGAACAAGACCCAAAAGAAGACCAAAAACGAAGACCGTTGTCTTAGTGTTGTTGAGTCGGTCATAATTGTGATCAAGACCGACCCAACCTTTACACCTTGGCTCTTTAGGCTAAAATTCTTTTCATTGCATTTCACACATCATAAAAATGTTTTTCAAACATGTTTAAAACATTAAAAACACTTGGTGTTCGCCCAAACCAAAAATCAAGCCATCCGGCGTTCGGGTTTCAGAAACCGGCGTTCGGCATTCGGTTTTCGGCGTTGGTTTTTGGCGTCCGAACTAACCAAGTGGTTTTCAACTTTTTATGACTGGTTTTTACTTCTGGGCACATTTAAATAGTTTTTCATCAAAAACACTTCAAAAACCACCTTTCGTTTTTTTGTCGTTTGATAAAAACCACGCGAAACGACATAAACTTGGCTATCCGTGGTTTTTACTTAAATGAAGTGGTTTTCAAGTCTTTTTGTGTGGGAATTGTTGTTGGATGCATTTAAATGGTTCTCCAATCAAAACATAATGAAAACCACCTTTCGTTTTTTGTCTTTTGGTGAAAACCACCCGTGTACGGTGTTGACTTGGTCAACCGTGGTTTTTACCTTAACGACGTGGTTTTCAACTTACAAAGCTTGTTTTGACATCAAAATACATTAAATAAGTGTTTTATATACTTAGTTTTTACTTTGGAGAACTTTGCATTTTTCAGTCGGGTTTCAGCGCCGGTTAGCTTGGCCATGGTTCTGGGCTAGCCATCTACCCAGCGATGGTAGATTTCACCCATGCATGGGTAAGTGATCCCGGGATTCCAGAATCATGCCACCCAGCGATGGGAAAATCTTCCCATCGATGGGTAAGCAGTCCCTTAGCCAAACCAATTTCCAGAACCATGCCAAACAGCGATGGGAAGTTCTACCCATCGATGTTAAAGCCTTGGTGCAACATTACCACAAGGCAGAATGCCCTTACCCAGCGATGGGAAGCTTTACCCATCGATGGGAACCCAGCGATGGGAAGGCTTAACCATCGATGGTAAGGCATGACCGTTGGGAGTCATTTAAGGCTGATTCTTTCCTTATTTGAAAGTCAACCTCCCACCCAGCGATGGGAAGCATTTACCCATCGATGGGTAGGTAACCGTTGGCTTCAAAACTGAAGGAAAATTGGCTTACCAGCGATGGGTAAGTTCCAAACATCGATGGGAAGCCAATATCCTGCAGATCCCAAATTTAATCAATCCCATAAATCAAGCCAATCATCCCTTAAATGTTTTGATCCGTTGGAGCCTACTTTGGCACTATAAAAAGGGGTGTTTGGGTCTGCTTTTCTTACCAATTCACTTCACAATATTCATATTATCATTGCATTCAAACAACATCATTTTTCATAGCTTTCTAGAGCCAATTTGTGAAGTTTGAGTTGTTCTTGAGCGTATATAGTTTACTCAANCCGAGCAAGGTTGTTGAGGCTCGTGGGACTCGAGTTCTCAGGTTGTAACGGTTTGTTAAGCACCCGTAAGCTTAACGGAAGTAGTGTAGCTCGAGAGAGTCTCTCGGGAGACTGGATTAGCCACACGTTGTGGTGAACCAGTATAAATCTTGGTGTGCTCCCTTTACGCTTTCTACGCTCTTTACGTTTCACGTTCTTAATTTTTTATTCCTGCGATTTCTACGATCAAACGCTATTCACCCCCCTCTAGCGTTGGTCACTTATTCTAACAAAAAGTTCTACAAAACTAGAGGTGAAAAGACTATATTATTTTATGAAATAACTAGTAAAAATAAAAAGTGAGTGACCCTATGAACAGTGTCTCTTCTATGGTTGAACCCGAACCGGTCCTTGTCCCCCAAAGGTTGGTTATGTATTTTCTTCAGAAGTGTGATCTCCATTTTTTTCCTTCTCGCTTTTCCTTCATCTAATCTATCTGGAGCAATTCTTCATTCTTGGTGAATGGCGAGTTTATGATTTCTTCATTTCTTTTCAAAAATTCAAATGTTTATACTCCTATTGATTCGCATGTGTTCATGATTTTTCCAATTTTTGTTTCGAACAAATTACTGCTTCAGATTTTTTCAATTCCTCTAGGGGACGATCTAGGTGCTAGATGAAGTTTTGATTTATGCACGCTGAAGCTTACTTGATTGCGTTTTCGGCATAAATTAATGTTTTCTGTTGATTTCTCAGTGATGTGCGTGAATGAAGCCTTCTCTCGGTTCACTGTGCCCTAGAATGGGTGTTTTGACATCCAATTTGACTTTCTGGAAAAAACAAAATGAGTAAGTGAAGATGGGGATACAATATTTGATTGTGGATAACTCATTTAGAACTGCTTTAGTTCGATTTCATGTTTAATAAATTGGTTTAATTGTAACTTGTTTCTTGTTTCATTTGCAGGTTTACTAAACTGATTTAGGACGGCTAAGGTCTGATTTATTTTACACTTTATCATTTTTTTATCTGTCATTTTTGCAGAGCTAAGGTCTGATTTTTCAAATTGTTTCTTAGAAACTTGGTCTGTAACTTATTTTCAATTCTAAAAATTGATTTTACACCTTCAATTTGTTTCTTATTTAATTTTGATGTTTTCCCTTTAAAATTTTGATTCGGCTTGTATTTTGTAAAGAAATTAAGTTAGACATAAATGTGGAATTTGTACTAAAATAAGTCCTACTTTTTTTGGAGCGTGAAATTGTGAAATGCAACAATTTGTCATTATGTATTAGCATTTCAGTGTTTTTGGTCATTATCTAATGACAAGTTGTTCGCACTATAAGTCCTCTTTTGGTATAAAAACATCGAATGTTCTATTTTGATATATGGAGCATGTTTTAGTCATTGTTAAGGTATTTCCCCTTTTCTCATTTCTTCATTTTTAATTGATTTTTTTTATGTTTTTATTCTTGTTCCAATTTTAAAAACCTATTTCGGTGGAAAAAAACGTAGTTATAAACTGATTTTTGCTTCACAAATGAATCACTTCTTACTTTGTTTCTTCAATTGAAAGCAGTTGGTTTCAGCTATATGGACGATCAAGATAGTAATGGCAGAGACGCAAGCCCACCATTGACAGTATGTTTTAGTAGTATATACTTAGATAATTTTCAACCTTTTCCTCCGTATGTTGTTGGCAATGTTACACAAATTCTTCAAACTAGTGCCTGCTTTCCGTCCTTGAAATGTTTCCGTTTGGATACTTGGGGACTTTGCGACACCCAAATATCTTGTAAAATTTGGAAAAGTTTGTGTTCTTCGGTCTCTGTTCATGTTGCAATTCATTTTCATCCCCTGAGGGATTTATGTGATCTCCTTTTAGAATGTGTGTTTGTCGATGAGCTTTAGGGCTTAAAGTAGGAAATCGTTGAATCAGTTAAGTTTTTTTGGAGCTACATTTATGTTAATTTAGTTGTAATGAATTCTGGAATTGTCTCTTAACTTTGTTATGCTGATGCACATATTTGGAAATTTATGTTTTTCCCCTTTGCTAATGTTTCCAATTGTTGATGCATAGAATACCTGAGATGTCCAATCCCTTTTCTGGTTTGTCTCACTTTTCAGAGATGAAAGATAGCATTGATTATTATCCAAGGAAACCTGAGCAAAGTTTTTCTTTAACATGTATGAGTAAATTACTTTGCAACACTATAGACACTTGGAACCTCTTTCTTTCATAATTCATCTAGTGCTCTTGAAGTCTCATCCTTTGGTGTAATGCTCTTCAATTTGGCTCTATAAGTTATTTGCCCCTTCGATAGTTAAATAGTTCTTTTCCTTTTCTATTCGACAAAATGTAGAAGATTCATTCAGAGGTTCATAATCCTTTTAAATTTTCAGCAGTTGCCTATTTGCTACTACACCTTATGGGATCTAAGTGATGTTTGTAGCATATGACATACGCCCTATTATCATTTTCACCCCTTAAACAGCCAAAACGGTGCCTCTTTGTTCTTGGTCATGCTGTCTATCTACCTAGTGTTATTAGAAAAATAGGTTTCCTATGCTTTGGAGTTTATCTTGATCTCAAACTACTTTTGAGTTCATAGAATTGTTAATTTTGGTCAGGAAAATGACGGTTCAGTTAGAAATGACCATGTTTTCCCTCAACTATTCACTTCCATCAGTTCCATGCCAAGGCTTAATGAAGCAGCATCTTATCTTGCAGAAACAACTTCTCTGTTTACAAGCTGTCTCCCTGGTCTTTCCGGTGAGGTTTACTGTAGAAGTTTAGCATTTTTAGTTTTTTCAAATCGTTAAGTGTATGACCTTGGTAGCCCATGTTTCTTTCTTTAGACACTCACTTGGAAATCTCTCTAAAAAAATATCAAGTATTAATGATCTATCATTAATCTCAGCAGGTATTAGTTAGTTTAAACACTTGAACCATGAAGTATGCAGAGTAGGTTTGCATGAACCCAAAACGAATAAAATCTTGACTGCATTCAATTTCACTTGCATTCGTTCTGGCGCACCTTCTCTCTGCCGCTTGCACTAACTTATGTTTTATGTAGTATATTATTATCTCCTTTCATTGCATTTGCTACTTGTAGTCTTGCGCTACTTCTTCTCTCCTAATTAGTAATTATGGATTTTTTAATAGCAATATAGCAATTAAGTTCTTTTGCTATGATACATTGGTACCTCAGGCTTGGCTGTTGGAGACTCTGGTGGACAGGAAATGGTGACATTTGGTCCTAGAAATTCTGGAGGATCTGTTACTACCTTTAATACTCTTTTAGGTGCAACTGCATTCCGATCTTCAGAATCATCTAATCAAGAAATGCATGCTCCACGCATCCATGAAGAAATGACTAGTAGTTCAACAGAATCAGAAAAAGAGCCATTGTTAAACTGTAGTTCAGCAGAATCAGAAAGAGAACCATTGTTGAACTCTAGTGCGATTATTACATCAGCTCAGTCAAATCAAAATGGCATTTCTATTTTTCAAGGGTATGCATCATTTGGGGCTCTTGTGTTTATCATTTCTTGAAAAGCTGAAACATTTCAATAAAAGAAACCTTTTTAGGTTATTCGGGCAATGTTGCACGTAATTTTGATGGATGGACTTTGGTGGTGGACATCTACATTTATGCAACCTTGGAAATACTTCAGGAAAAAGATCGTTACTACATATAACTACTTATACCTGTCAAGATTCAAGAAAAAAACATCAATTTTATGAATCCTTGATTCTCTTTCTGATTGTCTACGATCCATCAATTACACCATTTCATATTTTTTTTTTGAACAAAACACCATTTCATATTGCTTGTAAAGGAATTTGAAGACTCCTTTTTTTGGTTGGGATTCTTTACACTTTTCTCTTTGCAGGCCCTCCCAGAGAGGTGATTAACCACACTTTTTTTCTGTAGTCTGATTGAAAGAGTACAGAGGACAGTTCGTGGCTCAGCTGATGATATTGGATGGATGCAGCGTGATCCAGAAATGCCTCCAGTTAAAGATGGCACTCAAAGATTTTTGGAGATTATTGATTCTATTAGGTATTGTGCTTCTGTTATTCGTTTTGCCGATCATCTGCTGAATTGAATTAGAGATGTTTTTTAACCCACTTTTTGCTTCATCAGGCATGGTGTGCATAGGTTGCCAAAGACAGTCGTATACTTGCTCGTACCAGGTAGCAATATTGCAATATGTATACCCTTCCCTAAATAAGGCTTTAATATTGTTAGGCTGTTAGCAAAATAAGTTTGAGCTTTTATTATTATCATTGAACTTCCATGTAGTGTATTAAAGAATAGTTTTTTCTTGAATCAAACCCTTTGCCCAAAATGTCGTCATATGTGGGTAGCAGTGTGTGCTGGTGAAACTTATTTACTTATACTTACGAAATCCTCACTGATCTTCTTATTCTTCAGGCCTTTTCAGCAATCATGGACCCCTTTACTTTGTTAATACAAAAACATCTTTCTCAAAAATGGGACTAACTTGTCACATTGCTAAAATTCACAGTGAGGTACTGTATCATACCACCTTTTCCCCCTGAATTTAGTATTTTTCCGGTATCGTTTTTGGTGCTAAAAACATGTTTTCAGGCATCGGTCGAGAAAAATGCCAGAGAGATAAAAGACTATATTGAAGAAATGTTTTGGGGTTCTGGGAAACAAGTTCTGCTTCTTGGACACAGCAAAGGAGGAATAGATGCTGCTGCCGCTCTATCCATATATTGGTCTGATCTGAAAGATAAGGTTGCGGGGCTGGTACTTGCACAGAGTCCATATGGTGGTAGTCCGATCGCCTCAGACATACTGCGGCAAGGTCAGCTGGGTGATTATGTTAATGCGCGCAAGCTTATGGAGATACTCATCTGTAGAGTAATCAAGGTATTTGTCTTGGTTATGTATCCTTGGTGAATTGAACTGATAGTAGTGCAATGTACTAATCTGAACATAATATCTGATTCTTTTAGCCTATCATATGTTTTCTTGAGTCGATACTTACTACTCTATTTCATACTCCCCCGTCCCAAAAAAAAAAGACTTCAATTCTTTTTCAGGATGTCCAAAAAATACTCTTCTTTCCATTTTTGGAAAACGTTGAGTGGCCCAACATCTTTCTCTCCCCTCTGAATCACTTTCAACCACACAATTTTATTTTTCTTAATCTTTGTGCCAAACTCAATTGGGAGGCTTTTATTGGGACAGAGGGAGTACATCTCTGGGTCCGGACCCCCAAATGCTTATATGGTCAAAATCTGTAATGATGGCAGTCGTTGTGTTGCAGGGAGACATGCAAGCACTAGAAGACTTGACATACGAAAGGAGGAAAGCCTTCCTAAAGAAACACCAATTGCCAAGAGAACTCCCAACCGTGTCTTTCCACACAGAGGCAGGCATCTCTCCTGTGGTCTTGGCCTCCCTGTCCCGCGTCGCGCATGCCGAACTGCCCACGTTTTCTGTGACCGGTCAGTCCACAAAGCTCCCAGTGGTGATGCCACTGGGGGCTGCAATGGCAGCCTGTGCCCAGCTGCTTCAGATCAGGTACGGTGAGAAGAGTGACGGGTTGGTCACTTGCCGCGACGCGGAGGTGCCCGGTTCGGTCGTCGTGAAGCCGACCCGAAAACTGGACCACGCATGGATGGTGTATTCGTCCCTGGGTGACGACCCGTCCGAAGCTGATGCCTCTCAGGTTTGCGAAGCCCTTCTGACGCTATTGGTCGAAGTTGGACAGGGAGAGAAACAGGCAGGTAGCAGCAAATAAAAAGATGATTGACTGGTTCCAGGTTTTGCACTATGTACATATAAAATGATGATCGTCTTTAAATGCCCTTCTGCATCTTTTTTGTCATAGATTTTAACCCGTGCGATGTATGTGCAGAAAAAAGAATACAAAAATAGTATAGTCTATGTACAACGTAGCAAAAACACGTATTCCCCACTGTGACATTTTTTTTATCTTGAGTGGCTTTGAACTCCTGACATAGCAACATATAATTGCCCATGATTGAAAATGTTCCTGGCATTTTTGTTGCAATTTGCAATTTGCATCTCCTATCCAATAATAATTGCATTTGGATATTGAAGCCTCCAAAAATTTACAACTTGTGTCTTAATTTAAATTACCTATTTTTTCGTTTGTCTCAAAATGAATTAAACGTTTTTTATTATGTTAAGTTTTTATTGATAAAATAACTAAATTACTCTTAAAATAAGCCACTTCTCTTCATCTTATCTTCTCATTCATCGACCACCTCACATCCACTCATTCATCTCCCTCATCTGTTCTTTTATCGTCCCATCCATCGTCCCATCCACTGATTCAGTTCCCTGCATCTGTTCTCACTAATCATTTTCTCCTTGGCAATCAGTCGCCCACCGTATTTGATTTGCTTTCTATCGTTCTTTCATCATCTCACTCTCCTCGCTCTTCTCTCATGCAATTCTTTTGTGTTTTGTTTATGATTTTAGAGTTTTCTCTTAAAATTGGTTTTAGATCGTGTTTCCAGATCTAGGCTTTTCCCATATACCCTTGCAATCTTGTGTTCATTTCGGATCTAGGGCTTTCTTGCTAAGGTTTATTTGTATGGTTTCATCTACAAACATTTTTTCTATTTTCACATGTTAATTTGAGGTTTATATATAATTTTTTAAAAATCTTGAGGAGTTATATGATGAAATTTCAGATCTAGTGTTCATGTGGATATTAAAGAGCTATATGATGAAATTTCAAATCTTCAATGTTGCACTACTGCTGCCCTGGGAGTGTAGATCAAGCCACTGACATTCTCTTTTACTTCCATTGAAAGTTTTCAAAAAAAAAACATTGGTGTGATGTAATTTGGATTGTGTTTGATGTTTGATTTCATGTATGTTTGATTGATTGTTTAATTCATGGGTGTGCATATGGGATATGTTTGATTTCATTTAATAGAGTGAAGGGCATTTTAGGAAGGTCAATGCCATCTTTCCCTTCCTTAATTATGCCCTAAAATCAAAATAAGTATATAAAATGGGAGAAGGGATTATGCATATATTTTTAATGATATTAAACCCAAAAATACATTCGAAAAGTAAAAGTATTTCATTAAGAAATCAACTTTTTAAAAGTGTCCTAAAAAACTTATTAAGAAGTCCAAGAAAACATATTGACTTATGTAATCATGGAATTCTCCATGCAAAAAAAAAAAGTAAAAATTCTTTCAAAAACATCCAAGCGGGAAAATAATACAACTGATCATTGCGTAATACTTTTGTACATTAGATGTCATCAACCTTTGAGCTTACTTCTCTCAGCTTTTTCTCAAGTAATTAGAAAACCGTATGTATGTTTCTTTGATTAATTTAGTAAACCTATAATTTTATTTTACTTTTAGGTCAAAGTTATAATATAGAGATTTTTTCCTGAGCCACAACCACAAGCTTAAGCTTTTGGTTTAGTTGGTTCTTTGACATGGTATCAGAGCCGTATTGATTTAGAAGTCACGGGTTCGTAATTTAGCGCCACCCATTTTTTAAAAAAATTAAATTTATGTACAGAAATCGAAAAAGACTATGCCTTTATGTCAGGGGCGTGTTAGAATATAAATAACTTTTCTTGCATCAGAACCACATAGTTGAGGTGGTTTCTTGGTACAAAGCATTTTATATTATTCATGAAAATCTAGTTTATATTTCACAAACTAAAAAACAAACGATAACAAAATAGTATTTTGAATGTTTGTGAATGTATTTATATGCATATACAAAAAACTAAAATGCAAACAAAAGTATAACTTATACTCCATCCGTCCCAAAAATCTTTCCTGTTTACTATTACGGTATCTCGATAACTCTTATTTGTTTGCATATTTTCATTGATCATTTGATAAAATAAAATATTTTTATCACTTCTTATTCTGTAGAGTTTTCAATGTAGTTTTTAAATATAATTTTTTAATGTGTTATTTTTTTATCAATTTACAAATAAAATAATTTAAAAATCATAAAATTTTGCATGTTAATCAAAGTCATGGGTGGCCCGGAAGGTGTGCAAAGTGGCTAACCGCACAGGGCACTTTAAATTTTAGGGCCTCATATTTTTAAATTTGCTAATAATTTTAAAGCAAAAATATTCTAAAAAATATATAATAGGGTCCAAAATCTAAATTTTGGGTCAGACCAAATTCATTTTTTCATTTTTTAAGGCCGACCTTGATCAAAGTAACAAATTTTTTTCGAGACTTACATGATACGGAGTAAAACTTCGAGAATTATTTTGGTACATGCCCCTAACAAATACCCTTCCCACACTCCCACCCCTAGTTTCTAGCGCCAAATTCTCTTGCTGAACGACATTTTCCTCGGGCGAACGCCGGCCGGATGTTTGCTTCCTACAATTACGCCGGCGAAAACATTTCAACTAACTCGCGAAAGAAGAATCTTTCAATACTCAATCAGCGCTCTTCCGATTCTTTAAATTTTCTTTCGAATATTCTTCGCATCGTTCGCCGGAAATGGAGCTTCCCGACGGGAACGGATGGAGAAATTGCCAATACGTCGTCGTAATGCGGCACGGGGACCGCCTCGATAACGTCGACCCGGATTGGCCCGCTAGTGCGGAAAGGCCGTCGGACCCGCCGCTGCACCCGGATGGAATGGATCGGGCTTTCGCGGTCGGCCGCAGGATCCGGGAAGATCTCGGGTCCCCGATCCAACGTGTCTTCGTCTCTCCTTTTCTTCGCTGCCTCCAGACAGCGTCCGAGGCTGTCCGAGGTCTATGCACCGTCGCCTATTCCGCCGGTGATTCCGGCAGGGTCTCTACGGATGCCGCCGCCGTGGATCTCTCCAAAATCAAGGTCTCTTGCTCTATTTTCCTCTTTTATTTATGGCAAATCCCTTCATTAGATCATGAACATTCTACATCATGAGGGCTTTAGGGTAGTGCAATCAAGAGAAAAACATGCTATAATGCCCCCAAAGTATGAATGTGTTCATAGGATGGGAACATAAACAGTTGCATTGTCTCTTTGAGTAAATTCAGACCTTTGTTGTGTTAAACCTAGGAAGGAGCATGAAAAGTTGAAAACCTTTTTCCTTAAAAAAGGACCTTTTATTTGAACCTTGTGGTTTTTTTTTTCTCCTCAAAGATTTTACAAGGCTCAACAAGCTTTTTGAAAAATTCCCTCCCTCCCAGAAATTTTACCGGTTTGATTTTTACAAAGTATTAAAAAAAATTGAGAAAAATGAAAAATGCAATACTAAAATTTGTTTAGGTGAAAAATGAAAAATGTAAGTGAGAACTACTTCTTGAGACGTCGAAAAAGGGAAAGTATTTAATGGGACGGAGGGATTGTATCTTTATTGAGGCAGTGTGTGAGTGTCACTCTTCATCACGATCCGGGTCCTCTTAGAATTTTACTTTTTAAATCTTTCCCCTACCGTTGCTTGAGTGACATTTATTAGGTTTGGTTATTTGTGATTGTGAGTCTTCCTCTCTTTGTACATTTAATAGGTTTCGGTTGAAATGGGATTATCTGAAATGTTGAACACGCGAGCGATACGACCTAATGTGGCTCCAAAGGATGGAGATTTTAAATTCAATGTCTCTCAATGTGAATCTCAATTACCTGCTGGAACTATCGATCACAATGCAGAAAAAATCTACAAGAAGGTATATTTCTTCGATCTTAAGTTCCTAACTCTCTCTAATGAATGATTTGGTTGAAGTATTTTCTGCTTTTTTGTACAAGTATAGCTACCTGATTGGGAAGAGCCTGTGCTAGCTGCACGGGCTCGGTATGTGGATGTTGCTAAAGCCCTTGCTGACAAATATCCATCAGAGAACTTGTTGCTTGTCACACATGGTAAGGCCTACTGTTTTAGCCATCCTAACAATTATTTTCTTGTCCTACAAAATATGGGGTTGTGAGCTGACGAACTTTTGTTGTGGGCATTGCTTAGATGGCAAAATTGGGTTGCAAAAGGGTAGTGATGTCCGGGTAACGACACTGAAAGGCGATCATGCGTGCCATGGAGCCCTAACAAGCTTATATCTCAATTTGTCAGACTAAGATTATACTATGTAGCTCCTTATCTGTCCGACTAAATTTTTAACTTAATATAAATCATCCTAGGTAACTATATGGCCGGTTCTGGGAGGACCCTAAATCCCTAATGATGGGGTTCATTCCTTATCTGTGTGTTGATGAACATTCTATTGTTTTGGACATTTTTCAAAATGCCCTTTTGTTGATATCACCCTGCAATGTACGGTTCTCCACTCACATTTTGCGACTGTCTGTTCTGATCACAATACACATGTACCACCACGGGTTATAGCACAGACCAGACAATTGCCCCAATAGTCATTGTCGGGCAAATGAGGGTCTCCAATCTCCATGTTGCGCATGATTGTTTGTTACCAGGAGTCAAACTCGGGTATTACCTCTTTATGCCTATCTTTGCCAGCTAATATCAATACCCTTCACATTGACTTTTCCTCCCATAGTCCCACTATGGGTTTGAAATTGTTTACTTGGAATCGGCAGTGTTTGGCTTGCACCGTCTTCAAGATCACACATTTTCTTTTATTTTGTCATCTAATACACACCATTGTCTAACTTCTTCAAATGCTTTTTAGCTATTATTCCTTTGCTGTGTTTTCTTAACCCAGGGGAGGGAGTAGGCTCTGTGTTTTCTGCAGCCATGAAAGGAGCTAGTGTTTATGAGGTTGATTATTGCGGGTTTACGATCTTAAGAAGGGATTTTGGCTTTGGCCAAGAGCAGCCATTCACACCTGGAGAGCTTACAAATCACAGTGATTCCGGCATTAAGTTTTTGGCTACCCGTGCATGATGATCATCCCTACACTCAAACCATTCTTTCTTTTTTACATCTTTTTTTTTTCAATTTGGATGAACTTAAGGAGTATTGTTTTTAGTCACGTAGGATTTTTTTAGAAAATAATGTTAAAGAGTAATTCCATAAACGGTGCTCTATAATTAAGGATAGTTTGCATTTAGACCATTGTTTTATGAAGTTTTATTAAATGTCCACATTAAGAGCTTGTTCTTTAGGGCTTAAACTCTTAACTTCCAGTTTCTTCTCGTTCTTTCCGGTTTCTTTTGTTTCTTCCACTTCTTTCGAGTTTCTTCTAACTATTCTCATGTTTTTTCAAATTCTTTCTACTCTCCAATCAATTATTTTAAAAATCAATTATTTTAAAAATGATATATTTTTAATGTGATTATAGAGTATTATTATTATTACTATTACTATTATTATTATTATTATTATTAATATTATTATTACAACTGTTTTGTTCATAACTATAGTGTGTGTGTTTATGTTATGAGTGAAGAGAATGTAGTATCTCATACTCCTTTCGTCCGGATTTATTTATTGTTTTAATTTTTTGGTCAAACTTTGATATTTTTTACTGCAAATTAAATATAATTCAAATAAATAAATGTTATAAAAATTTAATATATGAAAACTTTATCAAAAAAGAAATCAATCATATTAAATTCAAATTATAATTAAATATTTTTTTTATAATTTAAGGTCAAAAAATTGTCCCATTTTTTACAAAAAAAAGTAAAAATATGTAGGTTTATCTAAGACAATGATAGTATTATTTCTCATAAATTTACAAATTAGTTATATCAAATGAATATTTTTAAATGTGCAAAAAAACAAATTAATTTTTTCCCTTGGTTCTATAATAAAAACCAAATAGCAAAGTAATGTACGGAGTATTAGTTCCCCAAAAAAAGTCTCTTTACATTTAATTTTTGAAAATAAAATTTTATAAACTTTAGCTGTGATTAGGGGCGGGTAGGAAAAATTGAAAACTGAATCAAAATTGATCAAATTTTCCAAAAAATAAACCGAACCAAAAATATGGAAGTCGAATACAAAAAAACAAATCAAACTCTTTTGGTTTGGTTTTGATTTCGATTTTGGGGTTGGAAAATCGAACCGAATCCCTTTAAACATACTAAGACTTTGTGAAAACTTTTTTTTAATAATATATTTCTTTTCTGTATCGTTTTTTAAACCAAACTGAATAATTTCATCTTAATTTAATAGTAAACATTTCATAAACTTTCAATCAATTATAAAAAAGTTGCATACACTTAGCTCCATACACTTATCTTGCCTACTGCTAATACAAATCCAGCTACCACCGACTGCAATTTTTTTGTTATACAATGTATTTGAAGCTTTCCCTTCCTCCTTTATCCGGGCTGGGGACCGGCTGCTCTCACAGGCGGAGTTAAAAAGCATAATAAAACTACACAATAACATTAAAAAAAAACCAAAACCAAAGAGATAACTAATTTTGCACATCAAAGAGAGAACTGTAAATGCTAAAACCAAAGTAGTGGTGTGCAAAAAATGTTTAAAAAATGCTATACAAAGAAAGAACTAAAACCAAAATCACAAGTTTTTTTTTGCACATCACATACTCATTTCTGAACATTAAAGCAGAATAAAATTGAAATCCAAAGATGAATAAAATAAAAATAATAAAGTAAAGAATTCACCACATTGTAACTCCCCAACTGCCACGGTGAAATAGACAATGGTCCGAAACCTGGACCGCATAAGCCAAACTTCAAGCCCTTTCTTGGTGGCATCAGATGAATAATCAATGTAGACCAAGGTATATATCAAAAGCAAATGACAGACTTGACACCTACCACACAAAGCCAATCAAGATATATGCGAGATTTCTTGAGAAAGGCACGGATGAAGTGAACACTCTGAAGTGATTTAAGTAATCTAGCAAGACATAAAACCTGTCAAACCAAGGCCCCTAATTGGAAAATGCAAAAAACTACATTAAATAAACCAGACATAAAAGTCAGCTGAGCCTAAAAATGAGTACCCATCAATGTATCCTCAGACACAAGAAAATAGAACTTGCCAGGAAATGAAATTTTGGATAAACAGACCTGAATTCATTCACACTGGTACGCATTGCTCATCCTGAATGAGCAACACAAGCCGAATTAGCTGCAAGAGAAGTTAGACTCGACGAATGATGAGGCAATGACGATGAAACGAACGTAACAGATCCATGAGAGGAGCAATGCATAACAGTCCCACCACCTAAAAATGTTGTTTAGATGTTCGAATGAGAGATCTTACACAAGTAAGCAATTGATATAGATCAACCTTATCTTTATTCTTCATCAATAAATATAAAATCCAGATGAGGCCGAGGACCTCATACTTGTCACCGTGCCAGAGGTTACATCAACAAATCTAGAATGACAAGTTACAGCAACAGAACAACATAGCCAGAAAATCTTGAATCTGATATCTTGTTAAACAAAAGGCATCGAAAGAAGCATTGGCATTTGGACAAGTACTATTATTCCATGGTGGGAATTTCAAACATTTGTATGAAGAGCATCAATAGATCTACTTGTAGCATCACATCTAATGTTTGAATCTCAAAATCAGAGTATTTTCAATAACTCCACTTCTAGCTTCTCCTTCCTTGACTAGGTTTTGATAGGAAACATAGCAACTGATCGGGGTGAAATAATTCTATCAGGATTGTGGCAGTCGTGGTATATATAGATTATAAGAGGTGAACACCACCTTAAAATCAAACCAACTTGTGCAGCCAGATAAATCCAAAATCATGCAAGCAAAGTCAACCAAATGTTCTGTTAAACATATACTACTCATCAGAACCTAATCATATATTATTAATATGATCCAAGAATTTGATCAAGATGAAGAATATGAGAGTTAATCAAGATGAAACAAACCATAGATGTTCTATATATGATATGGTTCTTGGAAAATCCATTTCGATCATACTCTAATACGAGGATGAGGTCCAGGTTTAGCTCTTTCCAATGCAAAAAAAAAAACAGAATAATTATAAAGAAAATCATGCACTAGCATTTAGAAACTGAATCAATAGTCTTCTACAAAGAAAAGAAAAACAAGAGGTGACTAGACTATTGCGGAGTACTTACCATTACCAAATGACCAATGAACTGGTACCGGTTTTCAGAACTGGACCCTTACCAATTGTATCTTAAATCTGTTGTAATGAAAAACCTTGCAGTAAGGACTCGTCCACACCAGTAAACCAAGGTAGAAAATAGATCAACCTAATCAGATGTCTTAGCGTAAATCCACAAATTGAAAGCAACCAAACAACATACCCAAAATTTCTTACCAGGGAAAAAAATCTTGGATCTGATATACGACTGCACAGATACAATAGCGCTAGACATGGGATTTTCATATGTTTATTAGATTCTACTATTATGTTTGTACAGAGTGATAACACTAGTTTGTGATTACCTTCTACCTCAATATTCCAGTTGATCTGGATGTATCTTTCTTGACAATGAAACTAATCCCCCTTGCTTCTGTTGCTGACAAAATAGACATCTCTATGTTTCTGTGTGTTTTCAATAAATCTACTTCCAACATCACATCAAGCATTTTCAATAACTCAACTTCCAGAATCTCCTTCCTCGACTATTGAAATCTCACAACTGAAGTCAAATATATGATCTGTACCTCTTCTATAGGTCATCCGTACGTTTGATAGGAAACTTAGCAACAGATCATGATGAAATAATTCTATCAGGATTATAACAGTCGTGGTATTTATAGATTATGAGAGGAGGTCAAGAAGAAGCTAACACAACAAAATTTGTACATAGTTCTTGTCAAAAATCCAGTTCCACTAACAACATAGTCACAGCGCAGAACTTCCTGATATATATAAGCAATGGATACGCAAAGGTGTGAATAGACATTCTCGGACAGGAGAATATAGAATTTCTATCCAAAATGAACAACACAAACTTGTGAGCTACAGTCTTACTGCTACCCTGAATAGGGCAAACTTTGTGATCTCTCAGAAAGCTAGAAGACAATGACCTTGTAGTTGAAAACACAGATTTTCAGAACCTGATCACAAAATCCGAGCATGTCTGGGCAGTGAGCATTAAAGGATGAATTCAATAACTCTGTGATGGAACAGAGTAAGAAATCTGAACTGCATAAGCCAAGATCCAAATAATTCTATTAAAAAACAATGTCTAGTAAACATTATGATCCCAAACTTCAAGCCCTTTCTTAGTGTCATCACATCAATAATCCATGAACACTCTGAAATGATTTAAGTACTTAAGAAAGACAAAAAACCTGTCTTAGGTCAATAGAGCCGAAGCACGAAAGGAACAAAAGAGATTCTTCTCAAATGAGTCAATCTCTTTATCATAAGAGAGCAACCCAAGGCCCCTAATTATAAAATGCAAAAACTATATTATCTAAAACATACATAAAAGTCAGCTGAGCCTAATAATGAATACCCATCAATGTACCTTCAGACACAAGAAAATAGCACTTGCCAGGAAATGAAATTTTGGATAAACAAACCTGAATCCATTCACAGTGGTAGGCATTGCTCATCCTGAATGAGCAACACAAGCTGAATGAGTTACAAGAGAACTTAGACCGAACGTCTGAGGATAAAACTGAAAAATCATTTGTATGATGAATGATGAGGAAATGACGATGAAGCGAACGAAACAGATCCATTGTCTATCATAGAGCCAAGAGATGAGCAATAAATAACACTCCTGCCATAAAAAATGATGTCTACATGTTCGAATGAGAGATCTTACGCAAGTCAGCAATTTATATAGATCAACCTTATCTTTATTCTTCAGCAATGAATATAAAATCCAGATGAGGCCGAGGACCTTGTACTTTTCATCGAATCCCCTGCCTGAGGTTAACCAATCTAGAACGACAAGTTACAGCAACAAAACAACATAGCCACAAAATCTTGGATCTGATATCTTGTTAAACAAAATGCATTTGAAGAAGCATTGGCATTTGGACAAGTGAAGTAGCAAGAGGTGGTGGGAATTTCAAACATTTTGAATGAAGAGCATCAGAATACTACTATTCCGTCTTTAAGGGGTGAGAACACTAATTCATGATTACTTTCTACCTCTCTTGTCAAAGCTTGGAAAGAAAGCCTCATAACCACAATACGCCAGTTGATCTGGATGTATCATTTTCTACGATGAAGCTAATCCCCCTTGCTTCTGTTGCTCACAAAAGAGACATCTCTATATCTTCAGCTTTTCACTGTAGTTCACCTGTTTTTTGGGCATAAAACTTGCAAAGGTTTCAAGGCGCTTTCAATAAATCTACTTGTAGCATCACATATGATGTTTGAATCTCAAAATAAGAGTACTTCCAATAAATCCACTTCTAGCATCTCCTTCCTTGACTAGGTTTTGACAGGAAATATAACAACTGATCAGGGTAAAATAATTCTATCAGGATTATGACGGTCGTGGTATTTATGGAAAATAAGAGGTGGCATAATCACAGTGCAAAACTTCTTGATATATAAGCAATGGACACCTTGAAATCAAACCAACTTGCACAGCCAGATAAATCCAAAATCATGCAAGCAAAGTCAACAAAATGTTCTGTTCCACATCTATTACTCATCAGAACCTAATCATATATTATTATTATGATCCAAGAATTTGATCAAGATAACATAATCTATGCTGAAAACCATTCATCTTGACTATAAATCGTTTTAGTATTTATTTGTTTATAGATTATGAGAGTCAATCAAGATGAAACTAACCATAGATGTTCCATATATGATATGGTTCTTGTAAAATCCATTATATCATACTCCCTCTGTACCAAAATAAGGTCTAGATTTAGCTCTTCCCAATGCAAAATAAAAAAACAAAAAATAATTAAAAATGAGAATTAAATTATAAAATAAAATTTATGTGCTAGTATTTAAAAACTAAATCAGAAGTTTTTTGCAAAGAAAAGAAAAAGAGAAGGTGACTAGACTATTACGGAGTACTTAATATTACCAAATGACCAATGAACTGGTACCGGTTTTCAGAACTAGACGCTCATCGGTTGGATCTTAAATCTGTTGTAATGAAAAACCTTGAAGGACTCGGCCACACCAATAAACCAAGGCAGAAAATTGATCAACCTGATTTATATTCGTCAGCAAGAAATATGAAATCCAGGTGAGGACGGGGACCTTGTACTTGACACTGAATCACCTATCTACCTCGCTGGACAAAGGGAGTGTCGAACTCCATAACCTCCATATGCATGTTGATCTGGATGTATCTTTCTTTCTCTACAGTGAAGCCACACCCCCTTCTGTTGTTGACAAAAAAGATGTCTCTATGTCTTTGCTGTAATTAACGGTTCATTGAGCATAAAACTTGACAAGGTTTCCATGCATTTTCAATACATCTACTTCAAATGTCACATAAAATGTTTGAAACTCAATACAAGAGTATTTTCAATAACCCCACTTCCTCCTTGACTATTGAAATCTCACAATCAAAGACAAATCTATGATCTGCACCACTTTAACTAATCAGAGCCTAGGTTTTATACAAAACATAGCAACTGATCGGGATAAAATAATTCTATCAGGTTTATGATGGTCATGGTATTTATAGACTATACGAGGTGGTCAAGTAGATGCTAACACAACAAAATTTGTACATAGTGCTTGCCAAATCCATTTCCAAAGCATATTCAAAGCGTAGAACTTCTTGATATAAGCAATAGACACATCGAAATCAAACTAAGCCACCTCATTCGATCACCCAAACTCACAAAAATAGTATAGTTAACATGACTGACATCAAGTCCAATAATAGGATAAACAATACATCAGGTTCAGTTTGCCCAGCCAGATGAATCCAAAATATTGCAAGCAAAGTCAAACAAATGATCTATTACTCATCAAAACCCTAAACATATACGGACTATGAGAGTCGGTCGAGACAAAACTAACCATTGATATTCATATATGATAGGGTTCTGCTAAAATTCATTGTATTATGCTCCCTCAGTACTGGAATAAGGTCTAGGTTCAGTTGTTTACTATGTAAAAAAATTAAAAATAAGTACGACCTTCAAATAAAATTTATATTATTTAAAAATTTCATTAATAGTTCTCTAGAAAAGTAAAGAAAATAAATAGAAGATGTGACTATACTGACTATAATATCTTAGGTTATTTTGGAAAATTACCAATGATAACATTTCAGGAAAGAAGATATGATCTAAACATGTGAAGAGTGATGTGGAACACACAAGCAATATATAATGAATTAACAAAATTGTTCATCTTATTGTATCGACAAATTAATTGGTACCTGCTTCAAGGACTAGACGATTATCAAATGGATCTTTTATCTGTTGAAATAAAGAAAAACCTTGCAGTAAAAACTCAGCTGGAACAACGAACCAAGGCAAAAAAATAGATCAATGAATCAATCTTATCTATGTTCATCAGCAAGAAATACAAAATCCAGATGAAATGACCTTGTACTTTCCATCAAAGTACCCTGTTTGAACTTACGTCAACAAATTGAGAGCTACAACTCTACAAGTTCCACTGTTCCAGCAACCAAACCCCCACATCGACAAAATTTCATTTCAGGGAAAAACCAAAATCATAGATCTGATATATTGTGTAACAGAAGTCATTTAGAGAAGCTTCAGCATTTGGACAATTACAAAAGCTAAATGTGGGGTTTTCAAATATTTTACGGGAAGAGCATTAGATACTATTCCATTCGTACAGAGAGACCACTAGTTCATGATTTCCTTCTACCTCACTGGTCGAAGGGAGTAACTTGGAAAGATATCTCCATGACCTCCGTATTCATGTTCATCTGCATGTTACTTTCTCAAGAGTGAAGCTAATCCCCCTTGCTTCTATTGCTTACAAAAAGATGGTCTATGTTTTGGCTGTAGTTCACCTGTTCTTTGGGCATAAAACTTGACAAGGTTTCTGTGTGCTTTCAATAAATATACTTCCAACGTCACATCTAATGTTTGTGACTCAAAATCAAGCATTGTCAACATTCCAATTCCAGCATCTCCTTCATTGACTAATGAAATCTCACAATTGAAGCCAAATCTATGATCTGCGCCACTTCTATAAGACATCAGAACCTAGGTTTGATATGGAACTTGGCAACTGGTCATGATAAATAATCCTATCCGGATTATGACGGTCCTGTTATCTATAGATTATGAGGAGGTCAAGATGAAGCTAACACAACAAACTTTGTACCTAATTCTTTCCAAATCATTTCCACTAACAACATAAGAACTTCCTGATATATATGCAATGGATGCCTTCAAATCAAACCAAACCACCTCATTCATCTACCCAAATTCACAAAATTGTTTGACATGATGACAGGATGAAGAACACATCAGGATCAACTTGCAAGCCGGATGAATCCAAATATTGGAAGCAAAATCAAACAAAGGATCATAGCCGCATCTATTACTCATCACAACCTAATCATTTTGACCCAAGAATCTGATCAAGAAAACAAATTCTATTTTGATAACATACTCTATAGCCTGTTCTATCTGGATAAGAAATCATTGAGGTATTTATAGATTTTGAGAGTATGACAAGATCAAACTAACCATAGATGTCCATAAATGATTTGGTTCTGGTAAAATCCATTGCATCATACTGCCTCCTTACAAGAATAAGGTCCAGATCTTGTAAACAATTCAAAAATTGAAAAAAAAATTAAAAAAATAAAAGTTCTATACTTTGTATTTAAAAACCAAATCAATAGTTTTCTACAAAAGAAAAGAAAAGGCAGACGTGACTAGACAATAATTTTATTTTACAAAATTACCAACGAAATCATTTGAGGTAAGTCGATACAATCCAAACATGTGAATGTTGTGAACACATGCAATAGATAATGAAGAAAAAAGTATTCACCTTATTTTGTCACAACAAATTAGTTGGAACCATTTTTTTTAGAACTGCACAATTATCAATTGGATCTTAAATCTGTTGAAATGATAAACATTGCATTAAAGACTCACCTAGACCAATAACCAAGGCAGAAAAATAGATCAACATCATCTATATTCATCAGCAAGAAATATAAAATCCAGATGAAACCGAGGACCTTGTACTTGTCGAGAACCTTGTACTTGAAATCGTGTCACGTGTCTGAGTTAACATCAGGAAATTGAGAGCTACAATAGCTACATGTGGTGAGATTTTCAAACATTTTGCATGAAGAGCGTTACTACTATTCTGTTTGTGCGGTGTGAGAACACTAACTCATGATTACCTTCTACCTTGCTGGTCAGACGGAATGTCTTGGAAAGAGAACTCCATAACTTTCATATGCCTATTGGTGTGGATGTATTTCTAATCCCCCTTGCTTCTGTTGCTGACAAAAAAATCATCTCTATGTCTTTGCTGTAGTTCACTTGTTCTTTGGGCACAAAACTTGACAAGGTTTTAGTGCAGTTTCAATAAATCAACTTCCAGCATCAGATCTTCTATTTGAGAATCAAAGTAAGAGCATTTTCAATAAGTTCACTTCCAGCATCTAATTCCATGACTATTGCAATCTCACAATAGAAGTCAAATATATGATCTCCGCCACTTCTACAAGTCATCAAGGCTGTTTTATAAGAAAATTAGCAACTAATGACAACAATATTCTATCACAACTACGATGGCAGTGGTATTTATAGATAATGAAAGATGGTCAAGAAGCAAATATATCAGAAACTGTGCATGGTTCTTGTCAAATCGATTTCCACTAAAAAGAATAACCACAGTGCAGAACTTCCTGAAATATAAGCAATGGACGTCTTGAAATCAAACCAAGCAGTCTCATTCAACCACCCAAATTCACAACATTGTTGGCATGAATGACGTCAAGTCCAATAACAGGATAAACAATACATCACCCTGCTCGCTAGATGAATCCAAAATATTGCAAGCGAAGTCAAAGCAATGATCTGACCCACATCTATTACTCATCATAACCTAGGCAAATATGATCCAAGATGATGAACAAGATAACATAACCTATCACATATTCTATCTTGATTATAAATCATTGTGGTATATATAGATTATGAGAGTCAATCAAGAAGAAACTAACCATAGAGTGATAGACATTCATATATGCTTTGGTTCATACATGTGATTAGTGATGTTGAACATGAGCAATAAATAAGGAACAGAATCCTTCATCTTAATTCGTCATAAAAAACCTTGCAGTAAGGACTCATCTGCACCAACAAACCAAGTGAGGCCAGGGACCTTGTACGTGACACCAAATCGCCTATATCAGATTAGATCAACAAATCAAGAGAGCTGCAAGTTCCAGCCCAAACAACATACCCACAAAAATCTTACCAAGAAAAAAACCTTGGATCTGATATATTGTTCAACAGAGGCCATCTAGAGAAGGTTTGGCAACTGGACAATAAAAATAGCTAAGCGTAATTGGATTTCCAAACATTTTGCATGAGGAGAATCAGATTGCTACTATTCTGTTCGTACGGAGTGTCGGGGGTGAGAACAGTAACTCTTGATAGCCTTCTACCTCCCAGGTCAAAGGGGATGTCTTGGAAACAGAGCTCTATAACCTCCATAAGCCTTCTCGGGGCATAAAATTTGACAAGGATTCAATGTATTTTAAATAAATCAACTCCCCAGCATCACAGGTACTGTTGAGGCTCAAAATCATAGCATTTTCAACAAGTCTACTTCTGGCATCTATTTCTTGGGCTATTGCAATCTCACAATTGAAGTCAAATCTTCTAAAAGTCATCAGAGCTAAGGTTATATGGATCTTCTATAATTCTATCAGGAATTTCAGGATTACGATGGCAGTGGTATATATTAGATTATGAGAGGTGGTCAAGAAGAAGCGAACACATCACAAAATGTGCATAGTTCTTGTCAAATCCATTTCTAGTACCAAAATCATCACAATGGGGGACTTCCAGAAATATAATGGGCACCTAGAAATCAAGCTGAGCCATCCTTATTCGACCACCCAAATTCACAAAATTATTTGCATGACTGACATTAAGTCCAATAACTGGATAAACAACACACAGACCTGCTCAGCCAGATGAATCCAAAATATTGCAAGCAAAGTCAAACCAATGATTTGTGCCCTTACTACTCATCAAAACATAAGTGTATATGATCCAGGAATGTGATCAAGATAACACATTCTATACTAATAACACAATCTATTCTAATGTATATCCTTGTGGTATTTAGAGAATTATAGATTCTGAGTCGGTCAAGATGAAACTAACCAATAACCATAGATGTTAATATATGATTTCGCTCAGGTAAAATCCATTATATCATACTCCCTCCGTACCAGATTCGGCTGTTTCTGATGTAAAAAAATAAAAATTGTACAATATTAAAGAATAAAATTTATATTAAAAAAAATCACATCAATAGTTAATCTACAAAAGAAAAGTGAAGACAACTTCATTTTATTTTATCAAGTGATTAATAAAAGTACTTAAGAAAAGAACATGTGAATAGTGATGTGGAACACACAAGCATAAAATAATGAAGAACAAAAATCTTCTGCTTATTTTGTCAAAACAAAATGAGGCATATGAAAATTTGAGGCTTATAAACTAAATTTTCAACTAGTTAAAATGAAAAGGCTAGAGAAAAATCATTCATCTGAACTCTGAACTGCACCAACAAGTCAAGGTAGAAATAAAAAGTTTAGGAAACGACCATCTTCAGATACCAGGAAATGCCATATGAGATGGTTGGACACATAGTAACCAAAAGAGTCTTTATTGTTCATCAAGAAAAATCCAAAAAATTGCCGCTGAGATTGTGTTGTCTACACTAGATCAAAATGCATATAATCAATCAATTGATAAGATGAGCACGTTCTTTGTAGGGGTAGGGTATTTGTTTGACAACCAATGCCCCTTCCATGGATGCAGAGAATTACTACGTAGTAGTTTAAAAGAAATTTAATATAAATACTAGAAATATTTAAATGTTGAGACTTTTAAATCAAAAATATATATAAAAAACAATACTACATAGTAATTTATAGCTATTAAATCACAAAATTTTAGCTGCACTTACCTTAAACTATCTAATCAAATAGTATCCTTCAGATTTCAAATGTAATTTCAAATATCAATATTACTAAAACAATATATGCATATCTATATTACCAAAACAATGAATTTCCATGCTTCACTATAAATAAGAAAGGAACTCATACCAAATTATACCAAATCATTGCAGGTGAGAGCAAGTATATCATCTGACTTGCATGAGATCAACAGCAGGGTAGAGATCTCCAACAACATACCAACTCACGATAAATAAACAATTTTCAAAAGAGCAAACCGAGCATAGATGGGATGAACCAAAGAAATAAAAACATCAGAGGTGAACTCCTACATCATCCCGTTAAGACGTGAACACAATTAATTTCCAAAAAATAGATAATCCAACTGATCGATCACCATAAAGACAATAATGAAACTGGGAAGCAGAAACCTTATGAAGTGGTATCAAACCTGTCCATCTTGTTCACCCACTCCAATCCCACTCTTGATATGAAATCATAGCAACATCATAGAGGCAAGACAGGAAAACAAACCATCGAGTCAAGGCATGGAAATAATTAGCAGTAGGAATCAGATAAAGGCGAATCATCAATTAAATCAATTGCCTGGAAACATAAATAGGATTCAAAGCAGAAAATCAGGAAAACAATAGCCCGCCAACCAGTTCCGTCTATGATTTGCCCTACATCGTCGATCGAGGACAAGAGACAAAAAGTAGTCGTATCAATAAAATTAAATTTTGGGAAGAAGAAATTTATAGGATCGATCGCGATAAAGGCAAATCTTTAATAAAATCAATCGCCGAGAACAGAAGCAGTAATCAATATACGATCGCGCTAACGGTTTGCATATATGATCTGAGCAATATCGTGGATCAGAGACGGGAAAACAATTAATTAAAAATTGTAGAAAACAAATATCTTTCGAACCGATCGATTCTAATAAACGCAAAACTTCAATAAAATCAATCACCGGGAAACGGAAAGCCTTAAGATCCGATGACCGGTGCTAATGTTTTACGGCTGCCGGCCGACGAGAATATAAGCACCACAGAACACATATAGAAGAAAGCGTTGTAGCCTGGTGAAGCGTAGGGGAAGGGCATTGGGTATTTAATATTTATAGGAGCTGGAAGGCGGTCAAATCCACGCGTTTTGGAAAGTCGGTTTAGAACGTTGGATATTTAGGAAAGACGATCGAAATTTTAAATTTTTTTTGAGTAGCTCCGAGACCCATTAGTACTCTCTAGCTAGTAAAGTTTTTTTTACGCGTTATGTTTGAGTGATATTAATTTTAAATTATTTTATATGAAAAATATTATGCAAAGATTTATAAAATTAAAAATGAAATTACTATATTATTTTATCAAATAAGAAACGAAAATAAATTAATAAAGTGAATAAAATTTAATCATATGAATAATGAACAAAAACTTTATTTATGGACCGATGGTGCATTTTTTAAATCTCAACCTTCTTTAACGAAGTAGTGGGACTCGAACACGAGATATAGAGAGAGACTTTAGGGTGGCTTCTTGTCACTACAACATACTCCCACTTTTTAAACTTTGATACTCCGTATATTACTGATTGAGTTATAATTTCAAATTTAATATTAATAAATAAATAAATAAATAAATAAATACTGAAACATAGTATTAAAGTATCATATTTTTATAATATTTTTTATATATAAATAGAAACATATATGGTCAATGTAGTGTATTGAAAATCGTAAAAAAATTAATGAAAAAAATATGAGAAAAAGAAGTACAGTATATTTTTAATTTTTGTCAGGTACAAATTAGATAGCGAGTGTAATCAATAGAAAAAGAAAAATCAGGCTCTTATTTTCTTCTTTGGTCTCTAAATGATTTATCTTTTTACTTTTTTCATTTTTCATTTTTCATTGATCATTAGATAAAATAATTCTTGTCACTCTTGTTCTGTACTTCCTCTCTCTCATTTTATATTTTCTATTTCGATTTACGGTCTTTAACTGAGATAATTCTTGTCACTTTTGTTCTATACTTCCTCTCTCAATGTCTACCAAATTTATTCACGTTCATCATATACCATTTTTAGTAATGTAGTGTTGTCACCTTACTTGGCTAGAAGGGTTCAAATTGGAGTAAGAAAAAATGTCTTCCTCTAAAAGTACATAATACATCCATTCCCTCAATATTTCCAACACTTCGTAATATGGAGATTAAAATTTTATGTGGCTGAAAAAATTTAGACCATATACAAAAGCAAAAAAAATCTAGCCTTAAAAAAGAGAAAAAAACTTGTCCCAAGTTTTTCCCGCCCAAAGGGTCTTGCAATCACCACCATTGGTTCCACCATTAGTGATAATCAAGGGCGGTGGGTTTTCTAGCTTTCTATATTACTGTGCATTTCTGTGTGGCTAGAATTCAAGGTCTATCACCCAAATATGCCCTTGAAAACCCAAATATGCCCCTCTGCGGACTATCATCCCCTATTTTAATGCATTGTAATTATTACATACCATTTTTTAACTTGTTTGGTCATCCATTAAAAATCCTAATCACAGCCATCCGCTGCTTCTAATCTAACGCTTCTAAATTATTCTTATTTTTTTCACCAAGCATCATTCTCACAGAAACTGGCCCCTATGTATGTGTGTGCGTGCGTGCGTGTGTCTGGGATTGACTCCAGTCATATGATGTCTTTCGGTAAAATGACATCTTTCGGTTAGGTGATGCAAAACTCACCACTGACTGCTTCAAAGCTCACCCACAATAACTGCAAAGCTTATCAAGCTGTATGACAAAGCTCACCATGTTTTTTAACACTATTTTTAAAAAAAATATAAATCAAAGGAGTGAACTTTTGACCCATGTTGACTGGACTATGACCGATGACTGCCGCGGTTGACCGCCGCCAGTCGTCAGTTGCTGCCACCGCTGACCGGTGATTGACCCGGTGTTGTTAATTTATTTTTAATTAAATTTTTAATTATATATGTATAACCTATCACAGCGGACTTGGTTTCATTAAGCAAGTTTTTTAATACTCCGTACTATTTGTTGTTTTAATCAGAAACTCGAGGATTCTTTCGTGTACAAAACTCGAGGATTCCTACTAAATCTTAATCAGAAACTCGAGGATTCCTTCGTGTACAAAACCTGGAACTGCATTTACAACAATATGCTGCCGCATTTTAGAACCAAGTGTTCCTCGATTGAAACAAACAATTTGAGAACAAGTAGTCTTCCTCCCCGACTCGTTCTCTCGATCGATCGAAACAAACAATTTTACCACTTAAATAACAGATCAAGCACGTAATCGAAAGAAATGCTACAAACCATATATACTAGCTACAATAGTGAATTGCCATATGAATACATGTACAAACAATAATATCAAATGAACAAAATGTGTTGTTTTGCAATGGCCATTTGCACCGCAATGAGATTTTGGGGATTGGTACAAAACACAATGGGGGGGGGGGGACTCTTGAAGGAAAGAGAAGGAGCAATCCTTTAAATATAGCAACAAAAACAGAGGTTCTTTTCAACTAACTAATCTTCAGCTAAGTTTAGGCCTCGTTTGGCATCAGCGTTAGAGATAAGTGCTAGCATTTTGAAAAAGTTATCCAACAGTAACTTTTAGCATTAGCGTTTTCAGAATTAATCTACACCATAAAATTTTTATCCAAAACGCTAACGCTAATCGAAAACGTTGTTGCCAAACAAGACCTTAGTATTTTCAGTTAAAATTACTTCAATTTCAGTTATGTTCAATACAAAATAAATAAATAAAAAGAACAGATTATATGCAGTAGTAAACTTCCCAATTACTATCATGGAGTACAAAATAACAATGGTGTGAGATGGGCATATATGCTCTTATTACTTTTTAATAAATGGGTTGAAATCTGGTGGAAGAAACAAAAAATGAGACTATGCGATGAATATAGACAACAATAATGTGTGTCAAAACGTGTACACCGTTCAGCAGGCTGCCTGCTTAATCCGGCAGTGAAGTTTGAAATGAATATTAATCAAAGTGGGGGGAAAAAGTGATTCGCACTAATAACATGAGGGTAAGCGCTAAGAAAAGACAGAATACCAGTGGGTGTGTCTATGTTGAGAAAGGAATTATCATCACGATCAGTCACGTTGTACGCGGGGTGGTGTGTGGCCCGCCTCTCCTTTGTGTTTTGTCAAGCTCCTCCCTTCAGTCCAGAAAGGTATTGAGTTGGGGGCTAAACTGGAATGTCATCGCCAGAATCTCCTCCACACTTCAAGGTATTCCCTTCTTCTGGTTCTGATTTTGTGGTGGGGGTCTCCAATTTGGTTGGTAACATGTCGGATACATCCAGCCCTGGGCCTGGGCCTGGGCCTGAGCCTGCATCATCGACCAAAACCGTTTCAACTCCCCCATTGGGTAAAGACAAAGGAGGCCCAGGCATGTCCGAGGAAGTATCAGTTTTTTCTTCTCGGGGACCACCAACGCATTCCTCTATACCGCCTTTGGCGAGTATGAGATTTTGCAAGTCCTCAGTCAAATTGGGTTCAGCAGCGGGTTCTTTCGGTTCATCAGATGAAGCAGATGTGGCGGTATCAGCCAACTCATTATCATTGTCAGCATCAGCAGTTGGCTTGTCTTGCTCAGCGCTGGGTGGGCTAATTGTAATATCAGTTCCATTGGTATTGTTTGGTGAGGGTGATGAAACTGGGCCAGGGAGGCCATCATTTGCCATCCTATCATCCTCAAAGGCAAACCAGTTTGAATTTGTAAACAGAGACCCACTGTGAAACACAAATTGTTAAAGTGTAGAGGAACTTAATTTAGAGCAATGTGAGAGTTTTTACACAAATTTAAAAACAAAAACAAACATAAAACACACACGGACACATATTTTGACCAAGAGTTGCACACACCTATCTTGCTCATCCCCCAAACGAAGTGATGATATGACAACTTCAGCCGACTCATCGTCAAAATAGACATCCTGCAGAAAATTGTCCCGGCTAACAGTTGAACATTGAGCCATTATTATTTAATGCAAAATTCTCTTTCTGACATCAGAACATTATAATGTTCAATTATTTAGAGGCAATCCCCTTGTTAAGTGCGAACACTACAACATTGTTGAATACTCAATTTTCAAACACAATTACATCTTTCCAGAAATTTAATAGTGAAACCATACCTCATCATCACGTTCAAGTGCACCGTGGGCCTGCATTTTAGCACAAAACAAAGTTACAACCACCGAGAGTTGAGATGTTTACTGGAGTGAATTAATTATTTGCCTCAAAATATTAGTTTTTTAAATACATACAGGTCGTATTCCAGAAGCATTCTATGGAATATCAAAGGCAGACTTAAATTAATGAAATATATTCTGAAAAAAGCATCAGAGAGTAGTAGGTGTATCACCAGGTGAAAGCAAATCTTCTAGCTTAGAAATAAAATCAGACTTGCAGATACTTGCTATCATTTTATCTTGTATGTCCTATCATTTTAACAGACTGGGAAGCCATCAAAATGAAAGACATTTACACTTCCAGAGACAAAAGGCACCATTAGATTTATTTGTTAGCCATCCAAGCACTACTAGCATTTTTAAGAATGCTATTATAAGAGTAATGAATTACACTATTTGGTTCTTCCCTAGACTCTTAAAATCTGATCTGATTGTAAAAAATATGAAAATAAACCTTCAACATTTTCCAAATGTGGCAAAAGAACCTTGGAAAAGTTTAAGTCATGCCAAGCACCTCATCTATGTCATCATTATTATAGATCCCATATCGAAATGCTTGGCTCAGATTATTTGCTAAAGCAGCAACGTCATAGTCCCTATCTTGGTAATCATCATCATCGCTATCCCTCATACGGTCTTGTAGAGCTGAAGGCCTCCTGCGATAAAAATGAAACCATATTTAAGGCAAATCAAGAATGCAGACTGATAATGTAGGTAAGCATCCTCTTATTAAAAAAGAAGAAAGCTGCAAGAACAATTCAAATAAAAAACAGAAACATTGTTTCTTCCTTTCTCAACAAACTTTGCAAATCACCTAGGTTCTGTCTCAAATACAGAAACAATCTCCATTTCTTACTTGTTCTCTTCAATTAATCTCATTCAAATACTACCTTCCTTGATTATTATTTTACTCCTACCATAGTACTTAGGAAGATGATCCCAAAGGAGAAAAATACCTTTGTAAATGCGAAATAAATTTGCTGTGTAAAAAGAACAGTGCCATGGTACTTACCCACATGCCCACTGCATAACATTTTCCATGGCATTACGTTTTTGGAGGACATCTGTTTGCCAATTAACCCATTCACCATTCTCCTGCAAAAAATCATCTCCAAAAGATAAAACTAAAAGATCACAAAAGATTCTGTTTCATGTCTGCACACCAAAGAATATATTTCCAATGGCAAGACATTTATTGCTCATGCACAGCTCTAAACAGAAAATAGAAGCTAAACCGAAGGTGCCATTGGAGAAGTTGACCAGAACATGATGGCATCAGTTATCAGTGTGTTGACAATATTTATAATTATTTTAAAAGGATAACCAGATGAACCTGCAGATACGTCTGAATGTTGTCGTTATAGTTTCCCAGATGGATAAGCTTGTTAGCTAAACGTGTAATATGCCCCATATTACCTATCCGTGGTGGTGATTTCCCCTCAACGGAGACTGTTGGCTGCAAAGCCGTTCAATAAAAACATATTAGTATAGGAAAAGAGGATCTGCATAAAAAGATCAGTTACCAGATAATAAACATAAGTAGAGAATAACATCACACAGGTAATTACCTTGGTCGAGTCAGTAGTCAATGTGAGGTTCGTCTCGGCCTCAAGAATTCTCCCAACAAGATTACACTCACGAAGGACATGCTCCACAAACTGATCATTCTTGCTCTCTAGGCAAGATACTAAAATTTGTTCGACGTTGTGATGCAAAAAATTATTGTACGGATACCTATACATGTTCCCAAGTTAAGGCATTCATTCATCCATTTCAAGACAAGATTGAGTGCAAGGAGTAAACTTACTCAAAAAACAAATCCAATATACGTTTGACTGCACCAAGCCCAATCAATTCTTTCTCAGCAGCTTCACTACTGACACTCACTAAGACTGAAATAAACTCCACAATCTGAAGATTTGTGTGACTGAAGTCAAAACTTTGAAATATTATGTGCACCATAACAGAAAAAGAAAAAAATAGAGTGGAGGGAGGAAAAAAGACTAAGATAATGTTCAAGCATTGAACTAATTTTAGGTGCCATTTCCTTCACGTCTAGAAGGCACAAAAAGCAGTTTTCATCACCATCCCAACTGATGTACGTAATAATAATAATAATAATAATAATAATAATAATAATAATAACAACAACAACAATGTTAATATTAATATTATATTAATGTTAATAACTACAACAATAAAAACAACCAACTATAACAACAACAAAGAATAATAGTAATAGTAACAACAATAATGATTATAATAACTATAATAAATATAATAATCAACATATCAAATAAAAAGCATAATAATAAGGGAAATTGACTATTTGTGCCTCAATAGTTTGAGCCCAAGTAGGGGCATTGACTTTATGTTCTTCAATAGATTGAGAAAATATGTATAAGAGAATATGTACGACCAAATACTAGATTGTAATAGAGCTAGTATGTCATTATTTTTATTAATCTATTATCAAGTAGCCACATTTAGCATGCAAAAAAATTAAAATATAAAATAGCTTGTTGTGTTTGCATACAGGCAAGGATAAGCACTCATTTTTAGGTGATCCAATGTGCAGATTTGTGAGTAAAAATTGTGCAGATCAGCGTATTAGAAATTGTTTTTATGTTCCAGTGTAACTTGCTGTTTTGTAGGAGTGGCCAATTCTAGAGCACAGATTGAGAAGGAAATGTCTTACTGCTTAAGTTGTTTTCTAAGTGAGATATTTACAAACCTTAAGACGATGCTTTCCAAGAGGTGGTTTTAACTTTCCATATGTAGTTAGCAAGACATTGTCCTCTGATGAGACATCTAAAAGGTTGATAAGATCACCTGCAGTAAAAATATTGTTGCTTACAGAATTCCCATGAACAGAATTTCCTTACTCAAAACTGGCAAATGAGAGAGTTCCGTAATGCTCTCTTAAAAAATCACTACTACATGATTTCATTTAATTAATAAATGTATCAAAAGCAAATGGAAAGCTAATATGGAAATAGATAGGGCATAAATGCAAAGATGATGTGTATTATTCAAAAATACAACAATATTGACATGCATTAACAACAAATAAATGAAATTTTCTTAAACGGTGAGCCAAGAAAAAGAGGCTAAAGGGGAAGGATGGATCATATAATAACTTTTCAAAGATGTTCGGCTTAATAATAGTTGACAATAAAATCTAACCATTAATACAATTAGCTTTCTTTTATATCTCAAATTTGTCTCGAAATTAACAAGATCAGTAAGCTACTGTGAAGATAGCTAAACTAATCTATTAAGAGACTGCAGTCCTTATTATAACCTCCAAAAGTTCTTTGTTTTCTTCTAATATAACTATCTGAAACTCTGAAGTGTATCCAACTTGATAAATATATCAAGTCTAGCCTCAGCACCAGGTATTTCTCACTATAGAACTACCTCTATATGTCCACACAAGTCAAAAGGATTTTCTCAGGCATCTTAAGGTTGTATCAAGGTGATATGCATAAAACTTTAGGTAAAAATGAGCCTCATCAAATACAGAGTTCTTTGATTAATTAGACAGCCCATATAAGCTGAACAGAAAGCTTGAAAAGTGGCTTACTTATTTCCACCTGATATACAGACCAATTCAAAATACATGATTGTAGCTAAATAACAAGATATTCAGAATAAATACTTTCTTTCAACAATCACCAAGATTCAATTCTTCTTTCTTTTAGCTAGAGTAACTTAGATTGAGCTGGAGGATACAACACCCTAGTTGAATCCTACACGTGTAGGGTCTGGGGAGGGTGTGTGCACGCAGACCTTACCCCTACTCGAAAGTAGAGAGGCAGCTGAAGGATACAAGTAATCATATAATAATTGCTTAACTCAAAGAATGAAACATACCTAGGCTTTCCAGCATGCCTTCAACAGTTTTTGGGTTAGCAGCTATCCCAGTTCCTTGAGTAGATTGGCGGTTGAAGAAGTAATATGTTCCTGAGGTTAGCCTTTTAGGGTCTAACAAGGATATGCATACAGACAATGAATTAACTAAGACAGATTTTGGTCGTGAGCCCTCCAAAGCATGGCGAAATAATCTTCCAATGAAACTGTATAAGACCCAATATTATAAAAGTTAAATACTTTCTTACACAAGTACTCATAGAATAAGTACCCGCACTGGATAGAACAGAGCTATTAACAGTGAATACTACCTAGGGCTGGAAATTTTGGCAGATAACCCAGGGGGTGCATATCTTGTTATAGCACACAATATTTCTGCAGCATTAGCATGCACTTCCGGGCAGTCCTGCAAATAATAAGCAATAATGCTTAACCAAAGGTTCTGACATGCTTGAAAGATAAAATCAAAGGTTTTCATAGCCATTGGGGAAAAAAATATGCAATTCCAGATGGGATACAAGTCATTTCCATTCATTTCCAAAGTAAGAGGTATATTAAACTTAGGAAAAAACCCATTCCACCAAAAGCACAAAAACCCATCAACAGAAGGTTTCATACACAAAAACAGAAAATATACACAATTCCACCTTCATATTACAGTCCATTCAAAGTTATAATCATCCATCTTTAATTCCATTCTAAGCTAAACTAAAATCCAACCCAACCAAGGGTAGTGGTGAGGCAGGGCCCAAAACCAACTCTCTAGAAATCAATGAGATCCCTCCACACACACACACACATGCAGACACAAAAAGGAATCAATCGTTAAATGAGGTCATGATTCTAGGGGTGCATGTACAAACGTACTGATGAGCTAAACTTATCCACAATCATCTCCAGGACATCTGTATCTTCTAACCACTGCATTGAGTCAACAAAGTTGCTATACATGTGTTCATCTGAGCTAATCAAACGAATTAAAACCTGTCCATAAAAATAGAGTAAGACCTCAAAGAGTATTTAGGAAAAAAGTTCAGAATGAATTTTAAACCTACAAAGTACAAACCTCCATGATAGAAGTTATTCCAATCAGATCAACCAACTTCCTTATAACCTCCTGATGACTCTGCAAGAGCATTGAATGTTAAAGTCAACAAGCAGTAGATTTTACTCAACCATAAAAAGAGAACAGCATGAAATGTGTAAATAATACTAATCACAGTAGAAGTGTGGAAATAATAAAATATGGAGTAATGGAGTATAAGTTAAAAAACTCTGTCAGCATCCTATCAACTATCAAGTACAAAAAACACAAGGTTAAGCAATAAGTACAGTCCTGAGCTTAGCCAATGGTTTTAGAATCCTTAGAAAGAAGTGGAAATGAAAACATTGAGACCAACACCGTGTGAAGCCATGCAAGAACAACCCACACCCCTAAGAGGAAAATATCAGAAATGCATGACAGGCTGAAATAGAGGGCTTAAGAGCCCAGCAAAGCCATGTAGCAGGTACAGGTTGGACAGTTAATTAGGCAAGTGAGTATTATATTCAGAAAAAATAGCACAGCAATGTGCAACAGGACATAATAAAAGGGTTTGAATATGTAACTTAAGAAAGAGACAAAAACACACAAACTCTATGTAATACTCTGTAACACTTAAAAGACACATATCTTAATGCTATGAATAAAGTCTGAACTCATTTTAAAGTGCTTTTTGTTAAAGCATGCAACAATGCAACACATATGCATAGAACAGAAATCCCACAACCTGCCCTACATAAAGCATACTCCCTCCATCCCACAAAAAGGTTTAATAAAAATTTTTCTTTTAAAGGAAAGTGGAACCTTATTTTCGAGCAAATGAAAAAGAAAATGTGGCACTTTTTATGAGATAAAGGAAGTATAACATGTCCATTGGAGATGCTAAGGACAGAAAACCAACAGCCACATCAAATTGAAAATGTAAAGAAAAAGACGTAAACAAAAATATAACAAAACTTTACAACATAGACTAACTTCTTATGCGTTTAATTTCATTGTACACCCTTATTAACTCTCAACCTAAATTTGGCATTCCTCTCTTTGACATCCAATAAGCTTTGATTGGTACAGATTAAACTATATTGAATCCAAGAGTAAGTAGAGATGTTTGCAAACCTAAAAGAAATTCAATGTTATATTCATGCTAAGTAAGGCTGTTCAAGTTTAGGCCAGAGCAAAAAAACCGACCAAACCGGACCATTTGGTCCAGACAAAACCCGGACCGAGTAGATTTAGAGTTGGTCTTAGATCCAGAAATTTTAAAATTCTGGGTTTCAGTCCAGTCCGGTCCAAACCCAAATCAATTTCGGTCCAGAACAAAATGAATGATAACTTGCTAACTTAGTACTCCATGTTTTGGTTTAAATTTGTCACGCACTGAGTCCATCAATCTTCCTTCTTCCACAATACCACATACAAGCCCCCGCAGTTCCGCATATGAGGTGACAGCATGAGTCACGAAGACGACTTGCTCTTCATCTCCAACTTCCAGACAATGATGAAGGCCCAATCTGCAGCAGTCTAATTTTCATTTTCACATCTACTGTTCAAGCACAGATCCTGATTGGCATCACAAAATTGATTATGCATGATTGCTTGTGAACATAAACTTCCCCAACAACACTCTGCCATTGTCTCCTACTTGATTGCCAGACCGATAGACCCTGTATATTTGAATTGGCTGGGAAATTGAATGGAAAAGATTGAGGCAGAGTAGCAGGTTAGGTCTATTTGGTCTGGACCGGTTTGGTCTAAACTATTAAGGTCCAGTCCAGTCCCAACCCAAAACTATTTAGCTCTGGTCTTCGGTCTACATTTTGATGCAATTCGGTCTTTGGTCCGGTTCGGTCCAATTTTAGACCGATGAACAGCCCTAAGGCCAAGTACATGTCCATTACTTGTACATAAAAGCAGAGAAGCATCCAAAGTGTCATTTCATCATAATAAATATCATGTACCTTAGTGAAGTCAATCAAACAAAGTAGACTTACTTGTATGTAATTCATCAATGGTACAGTCTTCCGCTGTAGCAAGCATATAACAACCTGGAATATGAAACCAAAAGCATCCAAACCGTAATAAGAAGAAATAAAGTTGCAAAGCCATTGAGAATAAATGAATAATAAACCAGGGGATAGTGAAATGCTTTTAAAGATAATGCACACCCAAAACACACAAACTACACCTTCTGAATTCATATAGAATATTAAAAGCAAAAGGTAACATGAGACAATATTGTGCAAACTGCAAAGCACTCCCCTGAGAAAATGACACTTTTCAAACAATAACTGAAAGAGGAAGTACTCAAGTTCTCACTACTCACTAGGCCAAACAACAAAAGGGTTTCAACCTTGATCTCCCTAAGAAACATCAACCATCCTCACACAGCATGTGACCTTACAACCAGAAACGCGAAACAAAAAATAAATACCCCTATCAGAAGTAATGAAATACCTTGCTAAAGTAACCAGCCAACAGGGCACTGTGTGGACGTCCGGGTTCCAAAAACGAGAAGAGCAGATTCATTAACTGCCAATCAAAATTACAAGTCCACTGAAAAAAATCTCCAAACAAGTGACTACAAGACACACACAGTGACATCATAAATTGTCACCTCTTCATCATCGACCAAAGCTTTGAGAATTATATCGACCTCACATGTAAAAATTTCACAAGCAATAAAAGGAAACCTGTTCATTCACATAAAACAATTATATCACATTCAAGATCGTGTAAATTCACAAGAACTTGGAGGTTAGTGAAATGATTATTGAAACTCACTTAAATGTTCGTTTTTTCTCTGCATCCTCAACAGCATCTTCCACTATATATCTGACAAGTTGCTCAACTTGAACTCTCTCCCGTAAACTACCAAAAAAACGAACAGAGGTGAGAGCAATTACTTTAGAGTAAGAGTTAATAAGAAGATTAAAATGAAACCTCTCAAAAAAATTTTAGTTATAAACTTTAACATGAAATTGTAACATTGTGGAATTTAGTAAGCCATGGTGTGGTAAAAACATAGACATTCCTGTGTGGAATGTGGTGGGGTGTGTGCAAGTACAGTGAGCATTTAGTATGCATGTCATACTTAAGCTGCAGCTGACCAAATGGGTAAAGATATAAAGTATAGTGGTGCTTCATAATAACAAAGTGTGGGTCTCCATTACATTTTTCTCCTCACCCACCACCCATCGCAAATAAGAATATATGAGAGCATGAAAAATATAACTTACTAGTTGATAAGGCGGGAATTAAGAGCTTTGCATTCTTGGATTATTTCATCCTCGTCTAAAAGTTCTTCTAATGTGAAATTATCCTTCTCTAGAATTGTCTCCATCTGACATAAATATGTAACCAGCAAGTAAGGGTAAAAGTAACATTATTTCTCATCACACTTTCAAGACTTAAAAAATGCAGGCTATAGAAGTAGGTCTAATCGACAAGCTTAAAAAGCGCAACCTCCCCTTTCTACTTTTCAAAGTATGGCAGGAAAAACTGGGATACCCGATGACCCAACTATATACATATGTGCGCAATTGTGCATATTCCGGTTGTGTAGCTATAAATTCTAAGTGGAAAGGCCATAGGTAGGCAGCCAGAATCACATCCAATAAACAAATGGACAATCGTCTCACTTACTTGATAAAAAGGGAAAGGGAACATACACCATTATTATTATCATTACCATCATCTTACTAATTTGTCATTCTATCTTATTATACTTATCAGATTTTAGGCCATCTTGCTGGTATAGGGAGAGCATTGACTTAAATCTTTTCTCCTGGTTTCAAATTAATTTATGGATTTCTATTATTATTGTAAGTTGGTAGCTTTGGTAATTCAAAATTTTGAACCAATTGCAATTTCTGTTAAACCAGGAATGGAAAGAACATGGTGCAAGAGCTCCATCTATAAAGCTTGGAGGAAAGTCGGTCATCAAGGCTAGATGTAGTTTGTCTTATACTCCATATTCTGCACATTTCTATATAAAACTATTTCTGCTACCTATCTTTTTGTTGAAAATAAGTGCACCAAAGTAGCAGAGTATGTTTGAAGATATGCATATAACAGACTGAAGAATCAAGAATTCCAAAAGCATCTTTCGGTTTTAGGGTTAAACAGTTTGCTATATCCATATCTTTAAATATACTTTGTGTGCTTGTGTGCAGCTGCAGACAATAGAGCACAAAATCACTGGAACAAATGGATGCTTTTAGGGTTCTGTGTTCCTATTTAAACATACTCTAGATAGTTGGGTCATGGGTGAACTACTTAGGTAGTTAGGTCAGTTTAGTCTTTTCAACAAAAACAAATCTAGTAGAATCGGGTAACCCTAATCTTTTGAAATAATCCAACATTGTGATATTGAACTACAAGCTTGGTAAAGCTTATTGTGCATAATTCTTAAACACTTGCTCTTATGGCTAAGACAGATTGTCAATTGGATTTCATTAGCAGATTCGAGCCCAATTAAACACTTTCTTCTAATTTCTCAAAAAAATATGTCATCTGATGTCACCATTCACATATGGGCATTGACATAATATGTCACTTGGAGTTTATAGCAGATTCAGGCTCTTGTAGAAATAATTGAAGCATAAGCAAGGATGCAAAGATTTAACTACGTGTAAACTCACTTCTCGTGTGGAAAATACATAGCAATGGTTAACCCAGGAGGCATCGTCTTCCACATCCACAATACTTCCCCCCCCCCGAGTGTTATTTTTCTTTTATTTAATTTAGGCAGTGTTTGGCAATTAGCATTTCATTTCAATTCATGCATTTCAATTCCATAATTTGAAATCCTGAATTTCAAATGACAAGGGGAGGTGCATAAATTTCAAATTAAGCTTTGTTTTGAATGTAAAGAATAGGATTCAAATCCAAATTCAAAATACTTAAGTTTCCCAAACATGGAATTTAAGCTAAATTCAGATTTGAAATCCAAATCCATGTTCTCAAACATACCATTAATGTATTTATCAAATCCGCATCAAACAGTGAATCCCGCCCAATTATCAATTACATATAAAAATCCCAGCAAGTACACCTACATTAGAACAACATTCAAGCGACAGCTCGAACAGCAAATACAGTCTCAAATTTCACAACGCAATGAAAAACAACCAAAATTCAAAAGATATAGTGAAGAACCGAAGAGCTCCAATAAAGACATGATCGACGAATATAATCTGTATTGGAAAACTGAGTCCAATGATGCCTTACCGGAGACGCCGTAGAGAGGCCCGCCATTCGCCAAAACATTGTCGAATTTCGAGGAATGGAATCGAGTCGGAGAGGAGATTCGGAGTCGGATCTGGATTCTTGGACGCCAACTCAGTGAAACCCTACGTCGCAACGGCACGGACGAGCACCGGGTCCAGCAGCAATTGGGGATTTGGGAGCGCGAGATAACAGTGGCTCCACTTTACATGGCGTTAGAATTTAGAAAATGCTGTTAAATAATGTGGGTGACAAATAATAAATAATGTGGGTGACAAATAAAAGGGATAAACACTAGGATTAAAACATTGAAAATATATCAAAATAGGACTTTCATGTTTTTATTTTCGAAATAGGATTTACATTACCAAACATGGTCATATACATTACTAAAAAAGTATAATAATTTGCACATGTACACTGCCACATTACCACAATGCAAAGTCACATTACCATAGAGCAAAGTCTTATTCCGGAAAAAAAAACATGAAAGTCCTATTTTGGTATTTTTCTCTATGTTTTAGTCCTATTTAAGATGTTTCTACAAATAATAAGACTATTTTATTTTTGTGAGAAAGACCAAACTAGTACTAAAACATTGAGAATATACTAAAATAGGACTTTCATGTTTTTATTCCCGAAATAGGACTTACATTACCAAACATGGTCATATACATTACCAAAAAAGTATAGTAATTTGCACATGTACACTGCCACATTACCACAATGCAAAGTCACATTACCACAGTGCAAAGTTCTATTTCGGGAAAAAAAACATGAAAATCCTATTTTGGTATTTTTCTCAATGTTTTAGTCCTATTTAAGATGATTTCTATTTATTTTTCAAATACTATTGACGCTATGACAATAAGGGGAACCTTTCAAAAAAATTACAATAAGGGAAAAAATTATAATGCACCCTCAAAACATTGGAAATACTCGTACAATTCTGAGACTTCAAACTTAACTCACAGTTTCAGTAGATGGGTCTGAAGCCTCGAGGCTTCAAATAGAAACTTTAAACTTTCATTTTTTACATTTTAAATATACATTTTCTAAATTTAAATTAATAAAATTTAATTATTTAATGATTTGAAAGAGTTGAAAGGAAAATAATTCATTAAAAATTACATTCATTAAAAAAAATTGCAATCATTAAATAAAAAAGTTGCATTCATTAAATAAAAAATTACATCCATAACAACTGATGGGTAATAACCCATGGATGCCACCCGGTTGGTTCACCCAACTGGGTGGTGATGGAAGTGACAGGACGCACCCTTCTCAGCCCGGGTTATTTGACCGGTTGGATGGGAAGGTCGGACGCCAATAACTAGAGATCTATTTTTAAGAAGCACGCCTGGTTGACCGGTCAGTCGGCTGGCCGGTTGGATAATCAGAGACGTGCTTGACGTGCTTAGGATTATTATAAATACCCCTAAAAACCTCATTTCTGAGGTATGCTTTAATTAATGAACACGGCCTGTACTAATTGTAATAGTTACTACTACCATTAATAACAAGCCGGGTTACAGGTGTTTCCACCTACAACCCTTCCGATTGCTTTACTTAGTATTTGCGTGGTAATTTACACCATCAAATTGGCGCCACCCGTGGGACCATTACAAAAGTCATGGCAAGTAACCAGGAAACCGTTATTTCACAAATCTCTACTCCCGCTGAGAACGCCACCTCGTTCCCGGGAGGGAGTACCCAACCATCAACCCAGATCCCTACCCCCATTCTCACCATACCGCCGTCGACCCTGTTCACCTCCCCTACCAGTCTACCACTCTTGTCCCTATTTTCCCTCAAAGTTTCCCCGGGTCCATAGATCCAATGTACTCCCAGGCTCTTCAAAATTTTGGGCAATTCATGTCCATGTTTCAGCAGCCTGGGGGATTTTCACCTTTCATTCCCGGGTTATATCCACAGTCTTTGCCCCAAACTAGCATCATCCGCCCGGTTATCCCGACGAATCTCATCGGAGAGATGGACAAGGCTTGTCCATCCCGATCCAGGAGGAGTCGGTCCCAGAGGTCGCATACTCAAATCACACCGGATGGAGACGTGCGTTCCCCAGGCGCAGAAGAAGTTGAAAGGGAAAGAGGTCTAGCCAGAGGGATCTAGAAGGTCAGCATTTCAAAGGCTGGGACACGATGACCGAAATCAAAACCGGTCAGCAAAAGAGCGGCTGGGGGTGGAAACAATTCCAGCTAGCGCTCTTAACCGCCTAGGGAGAGGGGCCGGGCGACCGGGCCAGACCAGGCGAACGGAACCACCCCCACACGAACCTTAAAACAGTCGGGCGCCCCATGGAGAAGAAGAAGCGGAGAGCCATCCTAGGCACACGACCCGCTCCCATGTTGAACAACCCCGGGATCGTGTGGGCCGGGTTGAAGCACGTCTGGAGTAGCTACAACGCCGGGTGGACCGGGACGAAAAGAAGAAGATCCTGCTGAACGAATCTCCGTTCACAGACAGGGTTCATGAGACCCCATTCCCAAAGAAGGCGAAACTTGAGGTCCCAAAATTCACCGGGAAGGAAGACCCGGAAATACACGTCAAAACCCTCCATCAAAGCGGGAGGATGATGGGTCTTTCCGGGGATGAAAAGTGCTTGCTTTTCTTTCAAACCCTCCGCGCCCGCGCCGCTGAGTGGTTTCATAACCTACCGGCCGGCGAGATCGATTCTTTCGATGAGCTGGCCGAGGTGTTCCAAGAGAAGTTCAAGGAAAACTGCACAAAGAGGAAAAAGTTCACCTACTTGAGCACGGCCGGGCAGAGGGAGCACGAGGATTTGACAAAATTCCTCACCCGGTGGAAGGATGAAGTTGATAAAGTAGAAGAAATGGACGACAAAACCGCCATGTCCCTCCTAGTGTCCGGACTCCGGTCCGGAGAATTGTACAAAGAGTTCTGCAGGAGGCCTCCCCAATCCTACCAAGAGGCCTACAACACGGCCTGGGATAATGCTGACGCCGAAGCACAGGTGTCATCCAAGAGCGAGGCCGAACAGGGTCATTCCAAGGGAAGGATTTCTTTGAAAAAGGAAATTGAACTGCCCGGTAAGGTAAAAGCAGAAGTCATGGAGGTGAAGCCGGTCAAATCAGAAAAGAAACCGACCGGCGAAAAACAATGGACGGAGAAGTATTGCTCCTTCCACAAAACTGACTCCCATAACACTGCGGAGTGTAACAGTGTGAAAGGAGTGATCAAGCAGATGATCGAGGCCGGGGAGATTGATCCAGAGTATCTAGCTCAGGCCAAGCAAAAGAAAAACCAATGGATCAAACCTGAAGGACAGCCAGTCGAGCAGAATAAAAAGAAGAAGGCACCCGGTAAGGAACACTTGCAGGTCATCTACGGTGGACCGGAAGGGGGAGACTCTGCTTCCCAAAGGAAGAAATGGGGGCGAGAGCTCTACGTCGGATCGGTGGCCCTAAATCCCCGGTCAAAACAGGCAAGACGGGAGCCGATCACTTTTACTGACCGGGACCTCCCCGCCACTGGAGAAGATCACAATGACCTCGTGGTCATAACTATGGACATGGGTGGAGTCGATGTCTCCCGGGTACTCGTTGACACGGGCAGTAGTGTCAACGTTTTATACTTGGATGCATTTGAAAAGCTCAAGTTATGTCGGACACGGCTTGAGCCCTTAAAGACTCCCCTGTCCGGGTTCACCGGGGACTCTGTTGAAGCTGAAGGGTCAATCCTTTTGACTTGTGAGTTAGGCACAGGGGACCAGGTTGTCCAAAAACAGATGAGGTTTGTGGTAGTGAACATCAAATGTGTTCACAACGCCATCCTAAGCCGGCCTGGAATAAACAAGGTCCGTGGAGTCATCTCCATGGCCCACCTCTGCATGAAGTTCTATACCCCGGGTGGTATCGGACAAGTGAGAGGAGATCAAAAGAAAGCTAGTCTTGTTACTTGGAGGCGGTGAAGAAAATGACAAAGGCCTTCGAGAGAGTCACTTTGGTCTCTCAGGAGGAAGACCGGTCAAAGCTAGAGCCGGGTGATGAAACTGAGCAGATCGTTCTCCGGGAAGCCTTCCCAGAAAGGATGGTACGAATTGGCAGAGATCTGCCCGGAGGACTTCGAGAGGAAATCATCTCAGTCCTTCGGGAATACGCAGATATTTTTGCTTGGAGTGTGGCGGACATGCCGGGCATAGACCGTTCTGTCATATGCCATCGTTTGGCTGTGATGGAAGGGAGCCGGCCCGTGAAACAGAAGAAGAGGCACTTGGCAAACGTCCGGAGGGACTTTGTGAAGAAAGAAGTGAAGGATTTGTTGGCGGTCGGGCACATAAGAGAAGTACAATACCCGGTTTGGTTGGCAAACGTCGTCCTAGCCCCAAAAGGCGACACCTGGCGTATGTGCGTGAACTACACGGATCAGAACAAGGCCTGCCCCATGGACTCATACCCGTTGCCCAGTCCCGATCAGATGGTCGATGAGACGGCCGGGTGTGAGTTGCTGAGCTTCATGGATGCCTTCAAAGGCTATCATCAAATCTTCATGGCCAAGGAAGACGAAGAGAAGACTTCTTTCTTAACTCCTGAAGGCACTTATTGCTACCAGGTGATGGGTTTTGGACTGAAGAACTCAGGAGCCACTTATCAGAGGATGGTAAACCGGCTTTTTTAGCCACTCCTCGGTAAGTCCATGGAGGCCTATGTAGATGACATGCTGATCAAAAGCCTAGGTGCGGAAAACCACCCGGCTGATATGAGACTTTGCTTCGAGATTATGGCTAAGTACAACTTGCGTCTCAACCCCAAGAAATGCGTCTTTGCGGTAAAGACCGGTAAGTTTCTGGGGTTCATGGTGACCAAGCATGGTATTGAGCCTTATCCGGAGAAGATTAAAGCCATAACTGAGATGAGGTCGCCCAGTTCATTGAAGGACGTGCAACGACTGACCGGGCGGTTGGCAGCTTTGAGTCGTTTTCTCTCCCGTTCCGCCGAGAGGGCTCTGCCTTTCTTTAAAGTACTGAAGAAGGCCAACACATTCGACTCGGACCGGGAGTGTGAGGAAGCTTTCCGACAGCTGAAAGAGTACTTAGTTTCTGATATTGTTTTGTCTAAACCCAAACCGGGTGAGACTTTGTACTTGTATCTGGGAATTTCCCAAAACGCTGTAAGATCTTTCTTGATCAGAAATGAAGACGGCCAGAGGCCTATTTACTATGTGAGCAAAGCACTTAATGGGGCAGAGAGCCGGTACACTGCCATTGAGAAAACCGCATATGCGCTTTTCATTACGGCTAAGAAACTGACCGCGTACTTCCAAGCTCACGCGGTGGAAGTGCTAACCAACCAGCCACTTGGACCGGTCCTACGAAATTCAACCTCCTCAGGGCGATTGATCAAGTGGGCGATGATGCTCACCCAGTTCAAGATAGAATATAAACCAAGGACCGCAATTAAGGGTCAAGCTCTGGCAGATTTCCTTGTCGAACTGACCGGTCTAGAGCCCAAAGCCGGACCTTCCCATACGGTCGAACCGTGGTGGGACATGGCCGTTGATGGGGCCTTTGGACCGAAGGGATGTGGAGCCGGCATAGTCTTCACTACCCCAGAAGGATTTAAGATCTACCATGCCTTAGTCTTTAACTTCAAACTCACCAACAATGAGGCGGAGTATGAGGCGCTAGCCGGTGGTCTCAGATTAGCCCGGGCGCTCGGAATAAAAAGGATGAAGATCCGTTCCGATTCAAGTCTGGTCGTTGGACAGGTCAATGGTGAGATGGAAGTTAAAGAAGATCGCCTGGCCCAATATAGTGACCTGGTCCGAGCACTCCTAAGGGAGTTAGAAGAGTTTCGTCTGACCAGGATACCCCGGTCAGAAAACACTGATGCTGATATGCTTTCAAAATTGATGCAAGCCTGCCCGGAGCATGTGTCGAAGTTGGCAAAGATTGAGATACTGGACGTACCGAGCACTGACCGGTTTGAAGTCGCGGCTATCCAACCCAGCCAGTTTTCAGCAACCGGGATAATTGGAGCAGATGATGACAGGAGGTACGATCTCATGGAGTATCTGGAGACCGGTCAGAAACCAGATGATGAGGAACGGGCCAGGAAGGTGGTCTTGCGGGCTCCTCGTTTTCAGGTAATCGATGGTCACCTATACAAACGAGCCATTGGCGGACCTCTCCTACGTTGCCTTACCAACCCGGAGGCTGAGCGGGTAATAGCTGAGGTACATGAGGGAGTTTGTGCAGCCCATCAAATGTCCCGCACTTTGGCTCAAAGAATAATATTGCTTGGCTACTACTGGCCGACCATTATTGGGGATTGTGAGCGGTATGTCCAGAAGTGTAGGACGTGCCAAGTTTTTTACAAACATCCCGGCAGACCGGCCACATACTACCAACCAACGTTCAATGTCATACCATTTGCCCGGTTTGTGATTGACATTATTGGAGCTTTCCCGGTCGCCCAAGGTGGGGAGAAGTTCGTGATGGTGGCTATTGATTACTTCACTAAATGGCTCGAGGCTGAGGCGATGGCTACCATAACCGTGCGACAGTGTGAGAAATTTGTTTGGAAAAACATTATCACCCAGTTTGGTGCCCCAAAGATCATTGTTACCGACAACGGCCCGCAGTTTCGGAACCCCCGGTTCACTGCGTACTTGGCAAATTTCGGAATCAAGCATAGCAAGGCGTCAGTAGCATATCCACAAGGAAATGGCCAAGTCGAAAATGCTAACCGAACAATTGTGGACGGTCTAAAAAAGAGATTGGGTGAGGAAGGACACAAGTGGTTGGAAGCCTTACCTCATACAGTCTGGGCGCATAGAGTGACTTCAAGGAGGGCAACTGGAGAGACTCCTTTCGTGCTCACTTACGGATGTGAAGCCCGGCTGCCAGTAGAGGCAGAAATTCCAACATTTAGAGAAACCGTGTACCAGCCCGGTCAGAATGAGGTCGACCACCTAGCTGAATTGAATCTGGTGGAAGAACGAAGGACCATAGCCGCGGTCAAGATGGCCGGTTACCAGCAGTCAGTAAAGAGATATCATGACAACCGGGTAGGCCCACGGTACTTCCAAGTGCATGATGAAGTTTTACGCCGGAGGGATGCTAGTAAGCCTAATGAGAGGGACAAGCTGGTACGTAACTGGGAAGGGCCCTATCGCGTAAAAGCAATCATCAGGCCGGGCACTTACGAGTTAGAGACTATGGAAGGTGGCCGAGTTGACCGACATTGGAACTCTCATCACTTGCGTAAATTTTTTAGATAAAGTGTAATGAGTTCCCGGTTATCAATAAAAACTTGTTCTTTTCAGAAAGATTGTTCTTACATATCGACCGGTAATTGGTCGCACACCGATCTGCCCAGTTTGATGTCCAATCGAATTGGGCATCTCAAAAAAAAAACCGGTCGAACCGATCATACTCCTCATCCGTACTAACACGGAAGTCAAACGATTTGGCTAAACTAAAGGGAGAGCATCCCGGCTAGTTAAGCCAAACGTATTGAAGAAAAACGTAAGGCTTACCTTTCCACAAGGGCATTAAGCCATTGTGAAAACAGGTCGGCTTTACAAAGCGCCCGGGCAAAAGCTTATCCTTTCAAAAAGGACAAGTCAATATGCCATCGCGGGTTGCAAACCAACCGGGAAGAGATTAATCAAACTTGTTCTCTACTCGGCCGACCATCCAGCCTTTCGAAAAGACTTGGGTGAAATTGTATTTTAAATTAGGTAAATGCAGCCGGGCTATTATTTACTAATCTAAATGGTTAAAAATCTTAAGTTGAAGAAAATTTAGATGACTTAGAGTAAAGTACTTAGCACTCAGCACACAATATAGAAGAAAAGCACTTGCATTAATATTTAGACGTCTTACAAAAAAGTGCTCGGAGGCAGATCATTACATCAGAAAATAAAAAATATATCTAGGAGAAGGCAGGATAGATCAGATTCCTGAGAATGGAGGGACCGGCGCTTCGTCATGCAGCTCGGGCAGAGAAAGGGCCTTGGGCTGAAAACCTTGGATCCTATGCTCAAGAATGCGATAGAGGGCCTGCCGCTCGGTGTACTGACTGCTCTCAAAGTCGAAGGTTCCGATCTCGTCGACGATCCCGGTCGAGACTTTGTACTTGTATAAACCTTGGAAGAAGCGGATGGCTGTCTCCCGGTCAGGTAGCGCCTGAGCGGCGAACTCCTCAGGCTCTTGAACAGCCCAGGCAGCAGCAAGGGCAGCACGCTCCGCCCGCTCCTTTGCCAGCTCGTCTTCCAGCCGAGCGATCTCCTCAGCAGACCAGGCGTTCTCGGCCCCCAGCTTTTGGATCTTCTCCTGAGCTTGATCCTCGGCCTCTTTCGCGGCCTTGAGAAGACCATCGTGCTTGGCATAGTGCTGGCGATAGACCGTGCAGTGCTCCATCCATTTCGCCTCCACCTTCTCCGCCTTGGCACGGGCGGCCTGGGCCTCTTTCCGGCATTCGAACATCATGGCCTCCATCCGGGCCTTCTCCTCATCCTTTGACTTCACCAACCGGGCAAAGTACTCCTCACCGATCCGGCCGACCTGCTTTAAAGACATGAAAAATTCTTCAGAAAAATGTCAGAGGTAGTAAGAGAACGGTAAGAAGGGAGAAAGGGGGATTACCTCATTCAGGTCAGCGCGAAAAGCTTGGAAGAGCTCTTCGTCCGACCTGGACATCAAGACCACAGACCGAGGCGCGAAAAGCTTGGAAGAGCTCATTCTTCTTCTTCTTCTTCTTCATCTTCATCATCATCATCATCTTCTTCTTCTTCTTCTTCTTCTTCTTCTAGGGTGAAGATGCTTGAGGCTAAGAATCAAATGTTGGAATTTGAGACTTCATCATTGACATCCAGTGCAATGAAATGGAAGGTTGAATACAAACAGTTAGAGGAAGAGAATACAAGCTTGAAACGGGACAATGAGAAGCTGCTGACTAATATGGAGAAGCTGAGAGGTGAAATTTACAAATCAGAGTTGAAACGTTCTGATTAAAATACCCTGATAAAAAGCCTTAAGCAAGAAAGTGTAAGTTCTCTCTTTCTCTCCATATGATTTGTAGCATAAGCGTGGAAGTATATGATGATTGTTTTTATATTCCTTATAGTTGTGCTTTTTTCTCTTGTCTTAGGTTTGTCGTGATCTTCAATATGAAAATGAAAAATTGAAGTTGCAAAATGATCTATTGAGACAACACCGAGCTTCTTAATTTGGCCTAACAAGAAATTTTTTTGAATGACTGCCAAGATGAACTTTGCATAGATGTTAAGTTAGTTACTCACTTTCTTTTTATCTCGATGATTAGATGTTAGTTAAAGATCAGATTCGACTCCTCCAACCTCGACTAATCTCGAGCTCTCTAGATTTTTCCGGATTTTTCTGGTTTATTAGCTTTATTATTCCATTTAACAACTCAATTTACACTTATAAGTCTTATATGATGTTTTTTATATATACAAATAGGAGCTTATTGTTCATAGGGATGGCAATGGGTCGGGTTCGGGTCAGATAGTACTATACCCGAACCCGACCCGACTTTTAAAACCATAACCCGAACCCGACCCGAAATCCGACCTTTAAAGCCCAAAATCCGACCCGACCCAAACCCGACATTTCAACCCGAACCCGACCCGAACCCGACTTTTAACCAATAATCAATTCGACGTACCCCAATAATTTTGAAAAGATTAAATCTAATTTTTTTTGTGTCTCTTTTTTTATGTCTCCTTTTTTATTAAGGGATTATAAAAATGATTATAGAAGGCATATTTGATATAGTAGCACTTTGTCAAGAGATTATACGGAGTGCTCATTATATCCATAGATAGACTTTTTTGTAATAAAATATTCGGGTTTTAGTCGGGTCGGGTGCGGGTTCGGGTCGGGTCGGGCAAAATTATAAATCCACACCCGACCCGACCCGATGTCGGGTTCGGGTAAAAAATTTCGGGTCGGGTTCGGATTATTTTATTTTCGGTTCGGATTCGGATATTTTAGTAGTCGGTCGGGTCGGTTAAGCTCGGGTTCGGGTTGAATTGCCATCCCTAATTGTTCATCATCCGTTGCTTTACATATTTAGGCTAATACTTATATATCTTCAATTCATGGGCTTAAACGTAGCCAGCCCAATGGGCTTTGTACATGCCCTATCATATATTTCATTAATTCTCCATTAATCATCTCATCATTAGCGTAATCCCCATTCCCTTTAAGGGGTATATTGATACTGTACCGTCTCTATGTAATTGTAAATGAGAATTGGACTAGAAGGTCGAGGTGTGAGGTTTCATCATCTTAGTCATTAATACTCTCCTTCTGTCTCAATTTCAACAGTTTGTTGTTGTTTACGAGATTTGACTGAAATCATTTTCAATTTAATTAATTTGAAAATTGAGGTTGATTAGGCTTAAACTTATGCAATCAAGTCAAATATTGATATGCTAAAATAGGCCAAACATTGATGGTATACGGTAATACCCCTATCATGATTGTAAAGATATAAAAAGTACTCAATATTGGAGCAACATGTCATCAACAATATAGTAGTAACAATCAAATAGTCAAAAAATTGTGGACAAAAAATGGTCGAATAAATTAATAAAATAAAACACGTTACATCAAATAGTAAAAAAAATAGGGAACAAAATTAAAAAAAGACCCATATTAGATTTGGTGAAAAATTAAAACTCGGTGACTTGAGGACGTTGCACCCAACTTAAAATAAGAGAAAATTTAAGACGTGGCTCATTTGCAGTTCACATACACTTCCTTAAAACTATCAGAAAGTAATAATGATAAATCCAAACTCAATTTTAGGGTATGTTCTCAGTTCTCACTCCCTCTCTCCCAATTTCTTAAATAAAAATTACTCCCAAGTGACATAAACTTTTTGTAAAGACTCACACGTCCTTCTATTTTTTTAAAAACACATCCTAGATCCTTAAATTAATTAACGAATAAAGACTTAAGAGGCACATTCCGAGCCATCTTCTTATGTTCCGGTGGGTAATGGATGGGAGGTGCTTAAATGAATTTTAATTTCCATTATACCCTTAATAAAGTATTCCCTCCGTCCGAAAATAATGTTTACATTGCACTTTTTTTCGTCTAGAAATGGTATTCTCATTCTACTTTTTCATCTAAACTCTTTCAAAAATACTTCCACCCAAATACTCCACTTTATTTCTCCCCACTTTTTCTCCATGTTCTCGTTTCTTCTTCCACCTCTTCCTTTTCTTTTTGTTTTTGCTTCCTCTTCTTCTTTCTCCCCGCCCTTTCCTCAACCGGATGCCCAGACCCATCTCTCTCCCACCCCTTCAAAAATGTAATTTTTCTCACTTTACTTCTTGAGTTTTTCTTCTTTTTTTTTTTTTGAAATTTACCTCTTGAATTTGTTTCCAAGCTTTTCTCCTTAAAAAAAAAGGGTACCCCCACCTCTAGCATTACTCTTTCATTAAGAATAATGCTATCTATAATCATAAATAATTTGGACACAAACTTTATAATTTATTATTTTTGTATTTAAATTCTAATTGTTAAATTGTACTCCGTAACATTTTATTAATTTAGAAAGTGCACAAATAAAAAGTTTGTGTAATTTTTATTTAAATTATTTGTGTCTCTAGCATGACTCTAATTTGTATTACTTCCGTCCCAGAGTATTTGTCCACTTTCATTTTTACACATCATCCAATACACTTCTTTAATCCATTTTATCTTGTAATTTGTATATTAAAAAATTATACGGAGTAAAAATTATACTCCCTCCGTCCATTATTAAAGTTCTCACTTTCCTTTTTAGTCCGTCCACAATTAAAGTTCCCGTTTCTATTTTAAGAAAGTTTTTAGAAAGGAAATGTCCTTCCTACCCTTTTCCCATCTTCTTCCTCTCCTTCCTTCTTCCGTTTTCTTTTTCTATTTCATTTTTTTTCTTTCTTCCTTCCTTTCTTCCCCTGCTACTTTCTTCGTCCATTTCTTCCTTTTTCTTCCTTTTTCTTCCTTTTTCTCTTTCTTCTTCATTTTTTTCTTTCCTTTTCTTCTTCCTCGTTCTTACTCCTCTTTCTTCTTCTTCGGTCATCTGCTTGTTTTCTTCAATTTTTTCTCTTTCTTCTTCCTTTTTCTTCTTCTTCTTTTTTCTTCTGTCTTCTTCTTCCTTCTTCTTCATTGTTTTCCGTTTCTTCTTCCTTCTTTTTCTTTAATTTCTTCTCCCGTCAACCAGATCTGATGGATCTTACCAGATCTAGAAAAGAGATGAAGGGGGGATGCAG